CTCGATCTGAAAGTTAGCTCTCGGCCTGTCTCCCTTGACTCGTCGCGCAATGGGTATTGGTCGGCAGGTTGCAGTACCTTCTAGACTTGGAATACCGTACGCTGAAGGCGAACGAACTTGAAGGTGTGTGGGTGTAGTACGTAGTATACCTAGGTGTGTGCATTCCCTTCAGTGTGGGACACGTTACATGGTGTACTTAACACGCCTCGGTGTAGTGTGGGTCGATGGCCGTTAGAGCAACCTTTGATGACGGAAGAATCGCAGCCGCTGAAGGTTTTCGGTTTTGGCGCTAGAGGTAAGGTACCCTTCCCGTTTTCCCCCACGTCCCCGCTTCGTCATTCCACCTTCCACATTCCTCTGCCAAAATAAAAGACCAAGAGTCAACGCAGGGCATCCAATCAAAAGGTGGGGCGAAGATCGCCTGCGAGAAGGATGCCGGATTGACAAGGGTCCCCTAATAGGTCGAGCGCAAGCGTCCGCACTGCTCTCCCTCACAACCCTGAAGGCAGATCATTGCTTCAACCCTGAACCAAAGTTCCAACAACACCCCTGAATTGAGCCTCATTGTATGATCGGGAAGGGACCGCTGCAAACAAACAAAATACTAGTTTGTTGGGTGTCCATATGTCCATGGCATATGCTTTACTACATGTGCGTGTTGGGTCTTTGAAGTTTTTCGTTGGTCTTCGGGCAATTGCGTCCGTTTCCACTTACATGTCAAAGACTGAGGATGGGAGGTTTGGATGTTGACTGACGACTGAGGCCGTACCAAAGGGTGGCACATATTCTTTAGTGTCCTTTTTATATCCATCAAGGTTTGCTCAGTTAGTCCTCAGCTCCGCGGTGCGTTTTCTCATTCACGCGGCTAGGCTTGCGTGCCCTAGCAATTCAACAATAGAGAGCGGTGCCGGTCCAGCCCACTGCAGCCTATAGTCAAGCTTGCGAACCCTTCTCCCCTTGAATGCCACTTGGATGTTCGTGTTCAGCAGCTAATATGGCACCACAATGGAATGATCCTATGTCCGTGATCCTTGAGCTTAGGTTGTGAACCTCTTTGGACGTTGTGCTGCCTCAGAACTAAACCACCACCAAACACCCCGCTTCTCCCGCGTCGCACAACGGGAGTTTCGATGCTTGCTAAACATCACTGGTCCTCATTGCCGTCCTTTTGCTGTTGGCAAAGCTTCCGGCAGTCGGCCCACGCGTAGAACACTCCTAGCTTCCACCGGGATCCTGCCTTTGCCTGCCCTTAACTGAACTGCCCTTCACTGCGTGGGCTGCCTTTCTCTGCCCTTTCCTGCTCTTTCTTTCCGTCCACCTTCACGATCCCCAGCGTCCTTCCCGACCAACGGATCTCTGTATATCCCAGGTCCCTTCTGCACCCACCCACCTTGCATCCCCGCCCCCGGCTTGGGACCAGGACCCTTTCCCATAGAATCCATCTTACTTTATCTACAACAACGCCCGACCTCTCGGCCTTTCTTCCTTCCTCTGTCTGTTTCCCCTCCACACCGCCTGGCGCGACCGCACTCTCTGATCATAATATTCGACATACCCGTACCTGGCCATCCAGCCTAAAAACCCGCAGGAACGACACTCTTTCGTGGCCTCGTGACAGTCTGGCTGGCTCCTGTAACGTCAAGGTTAGCCTAAGCGAATATCATCGTGGTACCGCAGTACAACTGCCTGCCCCCCAAGACAGCAAACAATTCGAGACAGAATGACCATCGCTCTTTCCCTCTATCTTTCCTAGCGGGGAAGCATAATCTGAGAGCGAACTCAACAGGTTGGGAAGTCACTTGTCACAAGATCTGCCAGACCACAAGGCGACTGGACTCACTCCACACTCAGCTGGCAATCACCTATTGCCCACACCTTCCAGTTGCAATTCTGGTTGCGCACTGCAGTCTCCATTCTGACGAGACGATACACTCATACGGTCCGTCTCTTCGCCACACCACCGCGACAAGTACAACTCCCGGTTTACTGCGCTGTACCAATTGGTCAGGGCAATCACCTCTACTGTGACCTATCCACCCCAAGGTAGGGCGGGGACTGAGGTGCCAGAACCAACAACAGAAAGAGCAATCAATCATTGCGCCGTGTCGCCTTCCTAATTGATCATGGCGGCACTCAAGAACGCTCCCGCGCCAGCGGTCACGGTGCGCTCTTCAAAGGCCCTGGGCCTCAAGACTTGTCACCCAGTTCCTCCCGGCTTGCCTTCTCCCAAGGACGCTGCCGAAGCAGCATCGCCAACTTCACCGACCCTCTCCCACACAGCTTCTGACGACAGTACCATCGCGGATATGCCTCCCGGCGGCAGACCAAGACATAATCCCCCGAAGCGGGAGGCTGACTTCAGCTCTCTATTGTCACCCCAGGAAAAGAACGACTTAACTTCACTCATTACCAGAACCACCGATGTTATGCAGAAGCACTTTACCCATGTTTACGACTCAGCCGGTCTGGTCGATGACGCTCCCTCGGTTCGTAACAAGTTCTGGAGCGGACTTCCCGCCCACTTGCGTGATTTCAGCATCACCAAGCCTCTCCCTGTGGAGACGCAGCTCCAGAACCCCAAGAAGCGCACTAAGGGTAAGACCTCGAGGAGCCAAAAGGAAAATGGAAACATGGCTCGAGACACCAAAAACAGCACGGGTGCTGCACTGCAGCCAGCTAACCCATCTAACCTGAATATCCAACGCGCCCCTGAACAGGACAATGACAAGACAATCGGGCCCTACCTTCAGGAATTGAAGAAGGAAGCCATGCTGCACTTCAAGAAATGGCAGACAGCGGTACATAAGAGAATGGGTGACATCTCTGTCAAGCGGGCTGGAGATGCCAACTTCAACTCCACGGTGCCAAACAACAGACGAGGCAGGAACAGGCCTAACGGTGAGTACTTACTCCACCTAGTGACCGGGGACACGTATATAGAGATAGTGTAACGGCTGCTAATTCCATGACAGGTGTTTCAACCTCCAACATTGAGTCCGACCCTGTTCTGATGCAGCTTTACCCGCCGATCCCGTCGACGCTCTGCTACTGGCCTCTAGAGAGAAGATTGCTGGTGCTTCACGCTCTGCTACTCCTCCTGCTCTCACTCGAGCATTACAGCGCATATACTCGGGTGCTGCTGCTCCATATCACCTCTTCGCTAAACCTTCCTCTTCGCGTCCTCGTTGATGACGAGGTCCGCGTTGCCAAGGCTATTGCGTGGATGGCCAAAGATATCAATCCAGAGGAGCTGATCCAAAAAAGAATCGAGGAATGTGCTGGGAAGCCATCCAGGAGATGGAGGCACGGATTGGCAAGTATGGCTGGAATTAGCAGCTTTGGGATACCTGGCCATCTCGCTCCGCCCCTTGTGGCTGCAGGAATCGGATCTGTCAATGGAGGTTTCGGGCTTGGACCTACTGCTTCCGCCGGCATATTAGGTTCGACGGGCGAGAGTGCTTTTGTTGTCGGCGCTTTGCTCGGTATCTACAACGCCAGAACATCGGTCAAGTTGATGGAGCAGTGTACCAAGGAGATACAGGACTTTGCTTTCATCCCCATGCGCGGCTCTATTGGCGAAGATGGCGAGATTGGCAAGATCCAGCCAGATGCCCGTCGTCTCCGAGTTGTGCTGGCCATTAGTGGATGGCTGACCGATGAGTCGGACGTCACTAACCCCTGGAGGGCTTTAGGACAGGCGAACGAGGTATACGCTGTGCGATGGGAGGTGGACTCGCTCTCGAAGATGGGAACAGCTTTGGAGACTGTCGTAAGGAGCTCGGCATGGTCCATGGCAAAGAAGGAAATCATTGCTCGGACCAGTGAGCCTCCTTTCAATATCCCAAAGTGTAACCTCTCGAGACGCGCTAACAAACATGGTCCAGTTTTCACCAGCATGACGGAATCCCTTTGGCCACTCGGCTTGCTCAAGATCAACAAAATTATCGATAATCCCTGGAGCGTCGGCATGGTCCGCGCTGACAAGGCCGGAGCTCTTCTCGCCGACGCCATCATGAACAAAGCCCACGGAGAGCGTGGAGTGACGCTGATCGGTTATAGTCTCGGCGCCCGTGCGATCTATGTCTGTTTGATGGTCTTGGCGGAGCGCAGAGCTTTCGGTCTTGTCGAGAACGCCGTCATGATGGGTACGCCCGCACCCTCGGAAGCCCGCGTCTGGTGTACCATGAGGAGCGTAGTCTCTGGCCGGCTTGTCAATGTCTTTTCAGAGAACGATTACCTGTTGGGCTTCTTGTATCGGACGAGTAGCATCCAGTTTGGCGTTGCAGGTTTGCAGCGGATCGAGGGTCTTGATGGTGTCGAGAATGTTGATGTCTCTGCTAAGGTCAGTGGACATCTCCGATACCAGTACCTCGCCGGTAGCATCCTAAAGCACATCAACTGGGAGGACATCAACCAAGAGCAGGTTAGCCGAGATGAGGCAGCTATGGTAGCCGCAGAAGAAAGGGTGCGAGAGCGTGAGAAGAAGCGAGACGCCGTCGAGCGTGGAATTGTGGTGATAGACAAGGCGAAGGAAGCTGCGAAAAATGATCCGGGTATTATCAGGACCCGGATGAGGAAGAAGAACAAGAGGTGAACGCTGAATCCGACTCGTCGGGAGGAGGGGAGGGAAATTGGTGAACGTTTGACTTTGGCTTTCTTGGGACCTAAGTTCCTGCTCATGTTTATGTTATGGCAACGACAAGGGGGTGGCAACGCAGGGCTCATGAGAAATGAGACAGAATTCGTACGTTATCTAAATAATTGTAGGATTAGCTTCAGTTCAGTTAGCTTTCCACTCTGGCGACCGATGTGGATCATCTGGGTAGGACACACTTAGTATGATACAGCAATCAAATATTGTAGTGTGGCGCTTGCATCGCAACAGCGTCGGGTAGTCCCTCACTCAGTGATTCTTGTCCCTTGAATACCCCTCGGAAGACGTGAACTCCCAATACAGACAGGCTGGGCATCTGACGCGGTTCCCTGAAAGGCCTGAAAGTCCCGGCCCCGCGTGTTATAACAACGCATTTGCCGTCTTATTCCAAATCTTCCAGGCTCCCCACACGTTCGGCATCAGTTAGCAGATACAGAGCCCTCCTATATAGTCAGACCACGCAGACCACAGCCCTTCTGCCCTCTCCAGGGCGCGAGACGAACTTCAGCCATTTTCCGCTTGATCATCTACTCCCCCTTCTTCCCACTCCTGACAACAAAGTATCTCCCAACCTTTTGCTCAGCTGATCCCAACACATCCCAATCCTCAGCCTCATTTTTCTTCTTTTCTTTCAGCTCCTCCATCTTTCTCCGCCTTGGCCGCCGGCAATGACCAACAATATCCTCCTCCGCCAGCGCCCCTTCAAGCATCTTCAGATCAATTGTGATGTCCGCCAGTCCCTCCGGAGACTCATCTCGGATCGAACTCAACGGCGCCAGCTCCTTGGCTTGATCTGAAGGATCCGTGGTATCCACCGACTGGATGGCCCGCACGAAGTGCAGGTGTGAGTGCAGAGCTGAGAGGAGGCGGGTGGTGGAGGCAGGGTCGGAGGCGGAGGGCGGGGGGAGGGCGGAGAGGCGGGCGAGGTGGTGCAGAGTTTGGGGGGTTATTTCGCTTTCTTCGGGTTGGGTTGATGAGGATGGTGTGGATGATGGAGGAAGAAGAGAGCGGACGGACCAGGTTGGCGTGGAGAGGATGACTGATGGGTCGATTTGTGATGGTGGAGAGAGTTTGGAGGAGCCGCCGCGGGCGGTGGATTGAGGGAAGGTTTCGGTTGTAAAAGATCGTGACCGGGGAAGGTCACGGGTTGATGGCTGGCTGGAGTTGGAGTTGGAGCTGGAGCAGGCCGAGAGGGCCGAGGAGGTGGTTGAAAGAGCTGCGCGGTGGCAGGCGCGGCAGATGGTTTTTGTTGTCATGATGGCCTTGATGGGAAGAAAATGCCTCGATTTTCAAAGTAGTATAGCTGAAAGGGAGATGTTGACTTGCGTTGTTCTATGGGGTTTACATATGATGTGGCTTAGAGATTATTTGATGCTTTGATGGGTGGTTTCAGGTGAGGCTCTGGTAAGAAGTCGCGATATGAGAGGTTGAGATGAAAGAGAGCGAGACATTTGCGAGGTACCTGTTGGGCGTCATAGCTGAGCTTTGGTTGGTTGAAGGCTAGACCCCTGCCACCGGGCCACTTGGTGAGGCAAGCTACCAGCCCTCAGGGAACCTGTTCAGGCGTCAAGGGCTTGGCGAGCCGGCATCAGCGATCACAGCCCGCTAAAGTGATCATCCCCCCCAATACCGGCCAACCCCCCAATCCCATGCCGCATACCTTACCCCGGGAGACAACGAAACACCTCGGGCTCCTGCAACCACCAACACGACACCATCCCGACCAACACCTGAGCTTCTTCGAACGCGCCCGATTCCGAACAATTGGGACACCCATCAATCGGCTTCATACAGCGAACGCGACTCCAACTTAGAACTTTGCCCATCTATATACCGTCTAATAACTTGCCCTTCATGGCTGTCGATCCGCGCGTTCTCCAACAAGAGGTTTGAACCTGCCCCTCCTGGCCCCTCCTGACACTTTCGCGACAATGGACACATTGCTGATGCCGAATGCGAACACCAGGCAGAGAAGACCCTCGCGAGCGCGTCCAAAGGCTGGGGTCTCTTCGGAAACAAGGAAGAAAAGTACCAAAATGCGGCGGATCAGTACATACAGGCGGCCAACGCTTTCAGGTTGCAGAAGTCAAGTACGTCATCACAATCATCAACATCCACGATGCGCTTTCGGGCCAGATGAACCTCGCGACAAGTCCTAACATTCTGCCCACTACCCAGACACCGAGGCCGGCAAGTGTTTCGAGGAAGCTGCCAAGATCTTCACTGAGAAGTTGAAGGAGCCCAACGATGCGGCGAATGCCATGTTGGACGCCTTCAAGGTCTATAGGAAAGATGCCCCGGATAATGCTGTGCGCTGCGTCGAGGTTGCCATCAAGCAGTATACCATGGCGGGTAACTTCCGGAGAGCTGCGTCGCACAAGGAGAACCAGGCTGAGGTCTACGAAAACGAGCTGCAGAATAAGCCAGAGGCTACCAAGGCCTATACAACTGCGGCCGAGTGGTATGAGAACGACGGTGCTGTCGCGTAAGTGATTTATGCCCACGGCTTTTGCGCCATATTACGAGTCCAACAAGTCGTTCTAACCAGCTGTGTGTAGTCTTGCGAACAAGCTGTGGCTCAAGGTGGCCGACCTCTCTGCCCTCGCGGGCGACTTTTTCGGTGCTATTGAGAAGTTCGAGAAGGTTGCGGAGGCGTCACTCGGCAACAACCTGATGAGGTACTCGGTCAAGGAGTACTTCCTCAAGGCCGGTCTCTGCTCCTTGGCGACCAAGGATATGGTCACTGCTCAGCGTAACATCACCAAGTACGCCGAGAAGGACCCATCATTCACGGGTCAGCGCGAATACCAACTCCTGGTTGACTTGTTGGAAGCAGCCTCAAACAACAACCTCGAGATGTTCCAAGATAAGCTTGCCGCGTACGATAAGATGAGCCGGCTCGATGACTGGAAGGCGGCCGTTCTTCTCCAGATCAAGAACAACTTTGAGGAGGCAGACAACGAGTTTTCATAAACAGGGTGGAGGAACTTATGATATACAGCCTTCTATCACTGCCTGGTTTCCTTCTTTCCTTTTTCTTTTCTTTGTTATCGTATCGGCGTTTTCTGGTTGGGAGGGGGATGAACTGTCATATCATGAATACGGTCATCGACGCTTTGGTGATTTACGGAAGACCCAAACAAACCTGCTGTCTAGGGTAGAAATGGGCTTAAAGCAATAGAAACTTGTTCCTAATGGGTATGCGTTATTTGTACAATCCAACATGAATTATTGTATTTCATAACCTTGATGGCTGCCCAAGCGGAACATAGGTACCTCTATAAGCATGAGATGCCATAGCTAACCCTGGAGTTACAGTTGGGATCAGTTTCGGACTGGCGCCAGACCCTTATCAATGACACCGGGTGGGGCGTGCGCGCCGATAAGCGACAACTTTTCGAACTTTTCTGTTCTTCATGACATCGATTTCAGCACTGCGAAGCGGCTTGCATTGTCCCACTCCAGCGCCATTCCATCACATTCACGATGGCCTCCTCTCCGTCTTTGCAGGAGAAACTGGACAAGATTCGGTCTCCGAATCTCCAGAGCCAGAAGCAGGTAAGCCAGAGTCATGATGCATCTCTCCTTTTTCCATCTTTTGTCTTCTGCATCCCTACCCTCTTCCTTCCAGCCTGCCATTGCAGTGGCCTGTCGCAAGGCCGCCTCCATCGTGGACAATGGACCCTGACTCTAGCCACAGACTGCCAGTGTCCTCGAGGCTATCGAGGCCACCTTCAAGGAGCGCAATACACCCGCGACTCCTACCGCCTACTTCGCCGCCCTTCTCAGTCTACTCAACAACGAAAACCTCGCGACCCCCGTCGTCTACCTCCTCGATGTCGTCACTCCTTTCGCTCCAAAGCCTATTCTTCAGGCCAAGTTCACTCAGATCATCACCATCCTCGCGCCAGTACTATCCCTCCCCGATGCCGATGCTCCCCTCATGAGGGCCTCGATCGGCTCTCTCGAGAGCTTGCTCCTTGCTCAAGATGCGACACAATGGGAGCTCGGTACCGCCCAGATTGGCCCCCGCCGGGCTGTGGCCGGCCTCCTCGCCCTTGCCCTCGACCCGCGTCCCAAAGTCCGCAAGAGAGCCCAGGAAGCGCTCAGGAACATACTGAAGAACCCTCCGCCGAGCCCGTCTCTCGACCACCCCGCCGCCCCCATGTGCGCCGAGACAGCCATGCAGAGCCTCCGTCTTGTCGCTGACAAGGCCGCCGCCCAGAGGAAGGAAAAGAAGACTACCGACTCTACCCACGATCCCGAGCTTATCCACGCCTTGCAACTCGTCAAGGCTGTCGCCTCTGGAAGCGGTGGCTGGCCCAGCAAGAGCATTGAGTCTTTGTGCGAGCTCCTTCTCAGCATTGCCCGGACTGGCAACGAGCACATGAGCATGGCTGTCTTCGAGATCTTCGAGATGATGTTCGAGGGCATGGCCGCCGACGAGGTTGCCTCCGCCAAGCTTCCTCGGCTGCTTGAGATCATCAGAGAGCTCCGTCCCGCGCCCAACGATACCCAGCTTCTCCCTCCCTGGATCGCCATTCTGTCGAGAGCCTACGATGTTGCCGGTCAGATTTCGCCCGCCGAGACCTTCCAAGAGCTGGTCGATCCTTTCACTCTGGTTGCAGGATACCTCGAGTCCCAGCACAAGAATATTCGCGTTTCGGCGTCCGAGTGCTTGGTCTCCTTCCTGGCCAACTGTGTCCCCAAGGAGGCCATCCTTGAGCCTTCGATTTTTGACGAGAAGGTCATTCAGCAACTAGTCAAGGTTGTCGAGGGCCTTCTCACCGTCCAGTACCAAGCTGCCTGGATGGAGACTTTCAACGTTCTTGGTGCCATGTTCGATGCCTTTCGGTGGCAGGCTAACCCTTACCTCCTTTCCGTCGTCAAGAGCATCGGCGAAATCCGCGGTAACGATTCTTTCGCTGGAAAGCAGGAAGCCGACGAGGTCCTTGGCAAGGCGATTCGTGCAATGGGTCCTGAGGCGGTCTTGAATGTTCTTCCCCTGAACCTCGCGAAGCCCGTCAAGGGTCAGCCTGGCAGAGCTTGGATGCTTCCTCTTCTCCGTGACTACACCTCTAACACCAATCTTGCGCACTTCAAGAGCGAATTAGTTCCTCTCAGTGCTATCATGTTCCAGCGTGTGATTGAGCACCAGGGCGAGAAGAACATTCACATCAAGATCTTCGAGACTGTGGTTCAGCAGATTTGGTCGATTCTTCCCGGCTACTGCGACCTTCCCCTTGATCTTGTTGAGGCCTTCGACACAGGCTTCGCTGAGATGTTGACCAACCTTTTGTACGAGCAGGTTGACCTGCGCTTGGATATTTGTCGCGCCCTCAGGACCGTTGTTGAGTCCAACCAGGCCATCGCCACTTCCGATGAGGTCGATGACCTTATCCTCTTTGGCAGGGTCAGCAAGGAGCAGGCGCAGAAGAACTTGGAGTACCTCGGAACCACCTTTGCGGCTGACTTCCTCGCTGTTCTCTTCAACGTCTACAGCACCACTCTCCCCCAGAAGCGCGGCCCTGTCCTCCAGACCATCAATGCTTACCTCAGCATCATCCCCCCCGCGCGTCTTACCGAGACTTTCAACATGGTGTGCGAGAAGCTCGCCGAGGCTCTTCAAGAGGTTGTTGAGAAGAAGCCCCAACAGCAGCAGAAGGCCGATCACATGCCTTCTGCCGCGCACACTCTCATGGACCTGGTCGTTACCATGTCTATCTACCTCCCCCGTGCCAGCTTCGAGGCTCTTTTCAAGATCGCTTCAGTGGTCATCTTCAAGGATGATGACCCTCAGCTGCAGAAGAAGGCTTACAAGCTCATTCCTCGCTTGGCGGATTCCCCCATCGGCAAGGCCGCCCTCGAGGAGAGACATGGCGAGCTCCAAACCCTGTTCCTGTCCAGCTCTGAGAAGGTGTCGGCACCTGCCCGGAGAGAGCGCCTGGCTGCCATTGCTGCTCTGATTCACTTCATCCCCAAAGATTCCCTGCATTTCATTCCCTCCATTCTTTCAGAGGTTGTCATTGGCTGCAAGGAGCACAACGAGAAGGCTCGCACCACCGCCTTCGACCTTCTGGTTCTCCTTGGCCAGAAGATGGTTTCTGCTCAGGGCTCTTTGATCGATAACAGCAAGGTCCCTCACATGCCCGCGGATGCTCCTGCGGCTACCGCCTCTATTGAGGAGTTCTTCACCATGGTCAGTGCCGGTTTGGCTGGCAGTACCCCCCACATGATTTCGGCCTCTATCACTGCCATTACCCGCGTTCTTTATGAGTTCCGCGAGACCGTCAGTAAGGAAACACTGTCCGACCTTGTCCAGACCATGGACCTCTTCCTTACTTCCAACAACCGCGAAATCGTGAAGAGCGTTCTTGGCTTCGTCAAGGTTTGCATCATCAGCCTGCCCACCGAGATGATGACACCCCGCCTTCCCACACTCATTCCCAACGTTATGGTTTGGAGTCACGAGCACAAGGGCCATTTCCGCTCCAAGGTCAAGCACATTATCGAGCGTATGATCCGTCGCTTTGGCTTTGAGGCCGTTAGCAAGTACTGTCCCGAGGATGACAGGAAGTTGATTGTCAACATCCGCAAGACCAAGGAGCGCGCGAAGAGGAGAAAGGAGGCCGGCAAGGAGGCCGGTGAGGGTTCGGATGACGAGGCCGGCGGCAGAAATGCCAGCCGGTTCGAGAGCGAGTACGACCACGCCCTTTACAGCAGCGACGACGACAACGAGTCGGAGCAGTCCGACGACTCGGACGCCGAGATGACGGGCAAGCGCAGCAAGAAGGGAGGACAGTCACAGCAGAAGGGCGGCAACACGTACATTTTGGAGGATGAGAACGAGCCTCTGGATCTACTCGACCGCAACGCCCTCGCCAACATCTCGTCCACCAAGCCGACCAAGCTCAAGAGGCACACCACCAAATCCAAGGCCAAGACGGACATGGACGGAAAGCTCATATTGGGCGAGGACGGCGACATGATGGAGGTCGACGTGCCCAAGGGCGGCAACGACGACGAGGACGGCGTTGGCGCCTATGTGGCGGCGCTCAAGGGCAAGGATGCTCCCAAGAGGGGTCTCCGTGGCAAGCTTAAGTTCTCTAGCAAGGGCAAGAAGAATGACGACAGCGATGACGAGGATGATGGTATGGACATCGACGATAACACAGCCAAGGAGATCAGGCAAAACATGCGCGGCGGTGGCCGTGGTGGTGGTGGTGGTGGTGGTCGTGGTCGTGGAGGTGGCCGCGGCTCTGGCGGTGGACGCGGTGGTGGCGGCCGTGGTGGCGGCCGTGGGCGAGGTGGTAGTGGTGGTGACAGGAGAGGTGGCCCTGGCCGTGGTAGCTTTAGCCGTGGTGGTGGTGGTCGCGGCGGCAACGATCAGGGAAGGAGAAATATGGGCGAGGGTAGGAGGACGGGTGGACCAATGCGTGGAGGCGTCGGTAAGGGCGGAAGGGGAAGGAACTAAGTTCAAGTGTTTGTCGGTTTTATCTTGTCAGATCAGATAGCCTTGCGAGGACACTGCCCCCGGGTTTCAGTTTGAGATATCATGTCTGTTTTTGTTTGTCTTTCTGGTAACGGAGTTCGATTTAAAAGTATTTACCTAGATGGACTGATTTTCTGAAAGTATGCCATCATCATAATCACCAATGTAAAGCCGTCATGTTCAATGGGTATCAGTAGAACAGTGCACTCATCCTGTCCCGAGGGGACTGCCATGACAACCCCTAACCCTAGTCCTCAGGGGCAGCAACAGCTGCCGCTTGCCAGTTGTGGTTGATGCTTAGCGCGAAATTTCAAGTGGAGAAACCATTGCCCCGTACGCCCAATGGAATCCACGATCCGGTCGGGGTACCTCCGCACCTATAAAAGACTCTTCCCCTCAACTTGTTTTTTGGAAGGTTTTTTTCTCCTTTTTTTCTCCTCAGAAAGTTGCACCCGGGGACGCAGAATATAGGCCCAATGACGAATTCTACTGTTTCAGACAGTCGTTGGGTTGTATTAACCGGGGAGATTAAAACTGAGAGTCTCAAGAATTGCTATGAATGCGTTGCCCTTGTTTTCTTCGGAAATCAAGGCTACGCGATGAATACGCGATCCCGTTTGGCTTCGACATTTTGACATCCGTTGTTTTTTTTGCTTCTTTTTAGATAGTACTTTGATTTGATGCTCGAGTGAAGTGGAAAATAATGCCTGGGCTATGCTATACACTAGTTCGTTCCTACTGAGCGCTGCGCTTGCGCATGAGAATATTGTTCGCTATCGAACCTTCTTCGTTCGAGTTCACCATGGCCGTCTCTGTGCCGTGCGTGCCGTGCGTTTTCCACCGGCACGGCGTCCGGGTGCTCTCCTGTCCGACTACTGCCGGTTCTCCGTGGTTAGTGGTTGGACGTGCTCCGTCCCGAACGGTCCGGTCTGGGTTCGGGATCTGTTACGCCATAAACGGCGTCATGTTGACGGCCGTGATTGAGAGCAACGATGTGCTCCAAAGACGTTTCGATTGATGATGAGAAATCAGAGATCTTGTACCTTGATGCCGCGGTTCTCTACGATACATCGTTGCGTTTGAAACAGGAAGCTATATATGTGTTTTGACGAATGTTGATTGGGACATTTCAGTTAACTGCTTGCTTATGCTTACAGGTTAAATACCCATTTCACTAGAACCGAGTACCTCGCTTTCTTACAAGAGTTCAACAAGATGGAAAACAAATGGGGAAATCATAAAGAGGAGAAAACACAAAAATACAGTCGGGAATCACACACTGTAATTCTTAAGCTCGTATATCCTTTTCACCGATCAATGTTCTCCTACTGCTTGTCATAAAACCAGCCGTTCACTTGAGCCCGATCGTCGGGATTCGAACCTTCGGTCAGCTAGTCGTGTTGCATTCTACGTGGGGTTTCTCTCGTGGCATGCTTGACGACCAGTCATGAACATCGGTACTCTTTCAAGAAAAAGGGGAAAGTAAGCGGCCGCCGATAGTCTTGCGACGGTTCCATGCGTTCGTCTTAGGGGCCGCATCTGGCAGGTGATACCGTGCGCCTGGTATCGTCGCGGACGAGAAACATGTCTTTCCCTTCCCGTCCATTCAAATCCCCAGCCTCAGCAGCGGCGTCGCCCCAAACCTGGGGACCGTGACGGAAGCCATCGGTTGACCGATGCAAAACATCCAAACTTCCTGTCTGTTGTTCCTGCCTAGATGGCGGTGGAGGGTCCGACTGGACTCAAGGTTCAGCTCAGCCGATGGGCGCTCCTTCCTACTTTCAAGGTTTCGTAGCACAGGCAGACGCGAAAGCACCTTCCCTTCACTGCCAGAACGGCAGGAGATGCCTTCAATTTTAGCAGCGACCACCGTCCTCTTCATTTCCCTTTGCCCTTGTGAAGGAACTGAACCATGAAGCAAGCGCTTAGGCATCGCATGGTCTTTCCGTCACCTTTACCCAGCATCTCAACAAGACAACAAACGAAACCTTGGACGCCGGGCCAAGTGGAATCCGTTGCCCACGCCTGAAGCGGTTTTTCAATCGGGTATCAAATCCAATGCCCTTTCTCAACTCCCCGCGTTACACATGTGGTCATATGAGGAAGTGATCAATGGAGAAGATGGGTGGACAAGAGGAGCTGCCGGACGAGCCTATGTAAGTGCGATTCTCTATCAATTCATCGTTTGCGCCATCGGATTCGCCTTTCAAGATCACCTATGTTGTACCAGCCACACCCTCGTCTTGTCTCGACCACTGCAAGTGCAGGGCGGATTTCTGGATCACTTATCTTCCCTTTGTTGTCGTCCTGCTGGCCAGTCCACCAACTTTCTGGGGGTGGCAGCCAATCGCTATCGGACCCGGACAAGCCCGCTACGTACGACAGCGATGCATGTGTAGCACCTCTGCTGCCCAAGCCAGAGAAGCACTGCAGTCTTGATCCTCTGTTCTACCTTATGCCACGGCTCCAGGGGCTTCCAGGCCCAATGGGCACGGCGACCAAGTGGTCCCAACAGGCTGACCTGTTTCGGCTGCATTGACCGGCATCAGCCATCCAGCCAGCCAGCCCTGTTGTCATTGGAATGATACAGGCTTTGATCTCCGTCGGCTGGTGTAGGGCCGCCATCTCATCATACAGCTGTGCATCACCTTTATATGGCTGGCTGGCTGCCCCATTGCTCGTCAACATGCAGTCCAGGCCACGTTGCTTCGAGAAGCATTGCCGTTCGACATCGTCAAGTCCAGCGGGGCCGCTACCACCGCTCTTCTTTCCTTACACCACACAGCTTCTCACGGACCTTATTTGCCCATGGCGACGACTGTCGAGGCTAACCGCTACCCTAGGAAGAAGGTCGCCATCGTCGGCAGCGGTGTCACGGGAATCGGTGCTCTATGGGCCTTGAACAGAAGCCCTCATGATGTCCACCTTTTTGAGGCTTCCGATCGGCTCGGAGGACATACCAACACGGTGGAATTCCAAAATGGAAAGCTCAGCACCCAGGTTGATACTGGCTTCATCGTCATGAACAAAGCCACATACCGTACGTCCCTCTTCCCCAGTCCCACCCACGCATCGGTACCTTGCAGTAGTCTACATCGGCTGCTTGTGTGGGTGCACATGCTAACGTCGCCCCTATAGCCAACTTCCTCAACTTCCTCAACTGTATAGGCATTGAGCCTGTCAAGACGGAGATGACCTTTTCGGTCTCTAGAGACTACGGAAAGTTTGAGTGGGCTAGATCCTCACTAAACTCCTTATTTGCTCAGCGTAGCAATATCTTCTCCCCACGAATGTGGCGCATCATATTCGATATCATCCGCTTCAACCAGCATGCCCTCGATGTGTTGAGAGTAGACCTTGAGGACACTACCCGGACAAGAAGCCAGCATGCCGCCATCCACCCTGAGGAGACAATTGGTGAATACCTGGACCGTGAGGGCTACTCAGATGCCTTCCGAGACGACTACCTGATTCCTATGACCGCGGCTGTGTGGAGTACCAGCCCCGACAAGTGCTCTCTCGAGTTCCCTGCCGTAACTCTGATCAGATTTCTGTGCGTATGACCTTGACCATATCTCTTGTCATTGTGTTCAAGTATGCTGACCCCTTTGCAGATGGAACCATCATCTTCTGTCTACAGTTGCCGCCCGCCCAGACTGGCTTACGATACCCACAGGCTCCAAAGGATACATAGACACAGTCATGAACGGTTTCCCGTCCAACCATCTGCACCTGAAATCTGAAGTCACAAGGGTCTCTAATGAACCTGATGGCCGTGTTCGTTTGCACATCAAGGGGGGTCGCTCTGAGGTCTTTGATCATGTTATTCTTGCCACTCACGGTGACCAAGCCTACTCTATCATCCGGGACTCAGCCACCGACGAGGAGCGAGATATCCTGCGCAACTTCAGGACTTCGGATAACGTTGCGGTGTTGCATTCTGATACCTCACTCATGCCGCAGGCTCCGAGGGCCTGGAGTAGCTGGAATTATCTGACGCGGTCATCTCCCGTTACTGGCAGGAACATCGATCAGGTATCGCTGACTTACAATATGAACATATTGCAGCACATTCCTCGGGACCAGTATGGCGATGTTTTGGTGACCCTGAACCCCCTGCATCAGCCAGACCCTTCGACGGTTCAAGGAACCTACATATATGCGCACCCGCTCTACACCCCCGCCGCAATCAAAGCTCAAGAGCGGCTCGATTACATTCAGAACACCCGAGGTATCAGTTACGCAGGCGCCTGGACAAAGCATGGGTTCCATGAAGATGGGTTTAGCAGTGGCATTCGGGTTGCCATGGAACACTTGGGAGGACGGATCCCGTTTGAGTTCAAGGATTCGACATATAGTCGTGGCAGAAAGCCGGAGCTGGGATTCCTTGACTGGCTGTTAAGAGTCTGGATCTGGTTGATCCAGGTTCTCTTCATCAGCGTGTTGGATAAGTTCAGCGCGCAAGGTGCAGCAAGCCGCCGACTGGCCTCACATGTTAACAGCAAGGTGAACGGCTCGGTCATTGCTGCTCAGAGGGTTTCGGGACACATGAATGGCGGCTATGGATACAGCAAGAAGCACATCTAATGGATGGGGTATATTTGACAATAATGGATTAATGGGTAGTTCTTGCAGGCAAGTCTCTGATGAGAAAGGAAGCCATCGTAGGTTCACAGAAGAAAATGTAGTTACATGAAGGACCTGGAAGAGCTCTATGGGTGTTATGGAACCCACTTTCAATTGACTAATGGGGAGGACTGGTTTCGATAACGTTCTGTTTCATGCAACGCCCAGGACATGCACGCCGTGTGTCATAACCCTTCACACGAGGAAGAAAAGAAAAAGAAAAAAAAAAAAAGGAAAAAATAAATAAATAAATAAATAAATAACAAATGGAAACGCCGATATGCCACTTATATACCGACTCTATCCGCGCGCAGTTTCTTCAAAGGAATATACTTTTCTTTCGTGACCGCCCGTAACAACGCGTCGTAATTCATCGATCGCAGATAACCTTCCTCGCCAAGTCTCACTTCGCAATGTCCTCAAAACTCCTCTTCACAGCCATACCCTTCCTCCACCCTCGCCGTCCTATTCTTGTTCCTCCTCCCCTTACTAGTTTCCACCCCAAACGAGTATTTTTTAATCCTCGGCCCCTCGCCCACAAACAAGCTCGGATGCCGATCCCCTGGTAACGTCTGGAACATTAGACTCTTGATCACGTTTCCCCTGCTGAAAGCATCATTTGGTCCTGCATCTACGTCATCATCATCATCATCATCATCATCCTGGTCCAGGTCACCAACACCGAAGCCCGAAGCAAAGCCAATCCTATCGATAGTCTTGCTCGGCACGCGCGAGCCATCAAGCAAAGAGTATAATCCCACTGTGCCGTCGTCGTGAGCCGCGGCTGCGAGGTTGTATGCCGTGTAGTGCGGGGCGGAGAGCACGTCGAAGCCGATGTGGATGTTTTCGGCGTTGCGATAGGAGGGGAAGGTGAGAATCGGGGTAGTGGGCGTGGACATGGTTAGGGGGTTGAAGGGGGGTGGTTTTCTGGTTCTAGTTTTGGGTCGGTGTTGTTGTGGTCTTTGATTGTGGTAGGGTTTTCTGTTTCTGCTGCTGCTGCTGCTGCTGCTGCCAGGAGCTGCCGATCGCGAGGGTTGCCAACCCATGACTGTATCAATGCTAGCAGTACCGTCACCGCCATCACTGATGGTGCTGCCCTTTTCGGTCTTACACCACCGAATATCATAGAGACGCATGGCGCTCATGGGACCCGCCACCAACACCCCATGACTCCCAACGGAGCGGACGTGCGCCGCGCTACTGGGGTGCTTAATCCAGCCCCATTCCTCATCGGGCACACGCATATCCAGCACGCACACGCGGCCGGTGCGTCCGCCGACGAGGATCACTTCGGCCGGGTTGACTGTCAAAAAATCGAGGCTGAGGACTTCACCGTGCTTGGCCATGGGTGGGGGGGAGTCATGGTTGGCCTTGAAGGAGGAGGAAGGTGGTGGAGGCGTGGTGAGCCAGCTTAGGCGGGAGTCGTTGGTGAGTTGCAAGAGGCCGACGTCACCGCCAGCGATGCAGGTGAGGCGGGAGCAGGAGGGTGCTGGGCAGGAGGTATTGATGACACCGTATTTGGTGCCCTTGGGGGTAGGCGCGGAAATTTTGATTAGGTTGGGGGCTGCTCGAGGGGATCAGTCAACCGCTGGGTCTGATTATTGACTGGCGTTTTTTCGGGCACAAAGGGGGTATGTGTGAGACTTACAGTTGCCTAGCTGCCACGTCGGCCGCTCCTCTTCTTCTATGGGAGGTTCGGATTGGCTTGGAGAGAACCAAGCGATGGAGGGAGTGCGCGTCGGCATCCTAGATGTGAGAAACATCCTGCCGGATGGCTCATGGAATCTGAGTGAAGAGAGCTGAGGGATGGTAATTGTTTCCGGCATTGGCATAAAGTCAGTCCGTCTGTATCTGACATTTGCGTACGCAAAGTTGACCCTAATATCAAGCCAAAGATCAGAATCTATCCAAGAGTCAATGTAATTGGAACGACTTACTCATCAGCACCATCCCTCGGGATGTACGAGCTCGTCAAGGAGTCGTCGTCAACCGCTGCTCTGATCGTCAGTATATCGGTTCAAACCAACCTCGTAGAAAGAGAAAGACACCCACCTGCATAAGTAACCCCCAACCCTGTCCTCGAGTCCGAACCTCCCACCCACAAGTGAGAAATGGTTCCAATCATGATCCCGTTTTGAATCAGGTCCGGCCAAAGATCGACCTTTCCCTTGTCAGTTAACCCCCTGGCCCATGACTTTATCACCGTATCGTCATCTCCGCCATTGTGAACCACCGGCCTATACTGGGTTGTCTCTCTTTCCAGGAACCCTCCCAGAAAAGGGTCTTCCAGGATCTTTGCTCGCTTTAGTTTTCGAGGGAACGCAAGCAGCCTCTTTTCCTTCTCCTCTTCTACACGCTTCTTCTCCTCGAGCAGACGACGCCGCTTTACGTCGTTAGATGTGTAGCGTGCCGTTGGCGCCGTTTTGTTGTCTTCTATCTTGAAGTACTTGCCTTTTTCGGGATCTAGAAAAGTGTTAGTAAGTCGTACGAGTTTATACGGTCAAAGAGGTAGCTCGATCCCCGATTATAGATAGTTTTGCTCATTTCGGGTTGGATATCACACAATAGAGCATTCACGTGGGAGGGAAAGATTATTTCCCATACGTACCAAAATAGAACCCTGGAAGCTCTACCGGCATCTTTGGAGTCTTGCTGCTGCCGCTGCCAAATCGGAAGATAGCAATACCGCGCTCTCACCAAGAGGGGACAAAAAGTCCTTACACGTATCACGAATGACAGATACTGCCCCGAAACCACGACGGCAATAACCTCTCGTTCGTCTCCAGGAGGTCGTCTTCGCTGGTCTCTCCTTTTTTCCCCCCCTAGGTCCTCGCAGCCCACAAACCAGAAATAACCGTGCCAAGTACAAGGCAAATGATTCGGTTCTTCACGCAATCCACGTGACAGAGCCGAAGCTATGTCGCTCAAAGCTCAACAAAGCTGCCTTAGAAGCCTGCGCTTCGAAGACCGCTGCCAGGTTTGCTTGCTAGGCAGGAGCGATGTTGTTCTGAGTCGACAGCCCGTCGTAGCCAAAGCGTTTGTGCAAAGCCTCGGCTCAAGATGCTTGGCCCTCTGCCTTCCCGAAATGCTTCTTTCGCCTGCTTCTTTCGCTCGTTTATTGCAGCCAATGCACGATAGCTTTTTCCTTCTGATACAATCAGGTCGCCGCCATGTGTGACACAAATGGAAGTGACGACCGATCCTCTATGCTGCTGAGTTGCCACTATCGATCCAACCCGTGCTGGCAAGCCAAAAGTAAGTGTAAAAGGCTGTCTCAATGAATGATCATCGGGGACAATGTGCAGTTGCTCCCGTGATAGGTGTTGCGTGTGTTAACTGCACTGTAAGCTTGAAAGTAGAGTTACAAAACACAGCAAGTATCTATGGATGTAGTCAGTGACTGTTGAAATTATTCGTCTGGGATGCCGTGATTGCGTCTGAGCGCGTTTTTCGCAATCGAGGACTTACCTGGGAGCGTGTTGTGGTGTATAAAGATCTGATGTTTGGACGCACAAAGGTTGACCGAGTGGGTAATAGCGCCAGATGCCAGATGCCAGTCAGAAGTTGAGGGAAGAGAAATAGTTATGTCATTTGCGTTGGTGGCCAGAGGCAGCTCCATGTTAGCGTGGTGTTCAGACTTTTTGGAGTCAGTTAGGCCCACTTTGCCAGGTCACGGGTAGGTACCTGCATTTGGTCACCACCACCCAACTCGTGGGAAACAACATGAGGGACTGCATGATCCAAAATCTCCATTGTGCATTCAAGTTTGCAGCCTGAAGTCAACCCAAGTGTCCAAAACTTGACACGCTCAACATGGCAGCTTTCACAGGAACTTATTAGGTTATTAGATTTTACAGTTTTAGTATTAGTATCTAAGAAATGTAATGGGTACGTATACCCCTAAGAAGTTGTGGACACAAATTCCAGAAAGAAAAGCCTGGCGGCAAACTCCCAGCCCTAATCTAAAATCTTCAATGGCTGAGATGCCACCAAGGGGTATACCAAGGGGGGTCATATGGAGTTATCATCCCGTCATTTCAATCAGGCAACCTTCATGAACATTGCACCCGGAAAATCATTATATCGCTTATTGCGACTTCTCATGCTGAGTAGAGACACGCTGGAGAGAGACAACTGTGAGGGAAGTATTGTTAGCTATTGGTCAAGGCGTCAACGTTAGAAGGAAGTCAATGTAACTTACCAAAGTCCTCAAGCGAGCGCTGCTTCTGGTTGCCCTTAGGGGACTTGCCGTGCATAAGGTTATCGAAGCCAACGCTGTCCTGGAGGATGTAGTAGACACCGCCCATGATGCAGAAGATACCGAAGGAGAAGATCCAGATACGGACAACGGCGACGATGGAGGTGTCGGAGTGCTCGAACCAGCCCCAGATGGTGAAGCAGGTGGCAAGAATATCAACGAGGAAGATAGCACCGCTGAGCTGCCACGAGGGGATAGAGGACCAGAAGGGACCGTTGGCACGAGTGATGAAGATGAGCCAGTTCTCAGTGAGGGAGATCTGGAGGAAGAGGACCTCGTCCATGTTACCGAAGTTCTGGACGATACCGCCGTTCTCACCCTGAGCGTACATGGTGGTGACAGTGATCCAGGTACCGACGGCAAGAACGACACCGAGGAGGACGGACATACCCCAGAGCTTGGGAAGGTTCCACTTGACGGGGGTCTGCGAGTAGGGGGCGTTGTCGTAGGCAATGGCAAGGGTGGCAACATCGGCGAAAATGGCGATGAAGACAACAAGCTCAATGTTGAGGGAACGGTTGAGAATGGCGATCCAGAGACCGAGGAAGATCTCCAAGTGGATAGACAGAGCGATACGGTAGACAACGTAGGCGTACATGCGGTGGAAAATCTGGCGAGAAGTCTTGAGGGCATCAATGATGGCACCGAGACCAGGGGCAAGGAAGACGATATCGGCAGCGGAGCGGGCAGCATCGGAGGAACCCTCGACAGCAATACCAGTATCGGCCTTCTTGAGCGAGGGAGCATCGTTGACACCGTCACCAGTCATGGCAACAAGGTAGCCACGCTGCTGAAGAATCTCGACGACGTTGTACTTGTGCTGGGGGAAGACCTCGGCGAAACCATCGGCAGCCTCAACGAAGTCGTAGACCTCAGAGCCGGGCATGTCACCACCACCACCAAGACCGAGGCGCTCAGCGTTGTAGATGTTGGTACCGAGACCGAGCTGGCGAGAAGTCTCGCGAGCAATACCGACGGCATCACCAGTAAGCATCTTGATGGAGAGACCGAGAGTCTTGGCCTCGCAGACAGTCTTGTAGGTATCGTGACGGGGAGGGTCCATGCAGGGCATAATACCGAGAATCTCCCAAGAGCCCTCGCCACGCTTGCGGGCAACACCAAGAGAACGGAAACCACGGGTAGCGAACTCAGCAACCTTGTTCTTGTAGGCCTGGTCAACCTCCTCGGGAATGGGGTGGTCCTCCTCGACAGTCTTCAAAACGAAAAGAGGGGCACCCTTGACGCAAGTGATGCGCTCACCCTGGGGAGACTCGACAACGGCAACGACCTTCTTGGAGACGGGGTCGAAGGGGTGGAACTGAAGAACCTTGTACTTGGAGAGAACAGACTTGGCGCGGGGGTAGTACTTAAGGGACTTGAGGAAAGCCTTGTCGATGGCATCAATACCCTTCTTCTTGCGGGAAGCGGCCAAGCAGGCAGTAAGCATGAGATCCTCGGGGTCGACACCAGCGACGGTGTAGGGGTCGTGGAGGGAGAGCTTGTTCTTGGTGAGGGTACCAGTCTTGTCAGAGCAAAGAATCTCGACACCAGCAAGGGACTCGATAGCGGAGAGCTTCTGGACGATGGCCTTCTTCTTGGCGAGGTAGGCGGCACCGACAGCCATGGTGGTGGTGACGACAGCGGGAAGACCGACGGGGACACCGATGATGGTGATGGCAAGGGTGAACTCGAGGATCTGGACGATGGGGTTGGAACGGTAGAACGAGGAAACCCAGACGATGAGAAGAGTGAAGATGACGAGGATGAGGAGAATGGTACCGATACCGTTCAAGACCTCAGTGAAGTGACCAGAGCCACCGCTAGCAGCGTTGACGAGGGCAGCGGCACGACCGACGAAGGTGTTGTCACCGGTGGCGGTGATGACCACGAAAGCCTCACCACGCTTGACAGCGGAGGAAGCGAAGACCTGGTCACCCTTGTGCTTGTCGACAGCAAGAGACTCGCCGGTAAGAGCAGACTGATCAACCTGGAGGAAAGCATCATCGGTGACGATGCGACCATCAGCGGGGATAATGGTACCCTCCTCAACCTGGAGGATATCACCGGGAACGACCTCGGGGGCCTCAATCTCCTTGAGAGTACCATCACGGAGAACGACAGCCTTGAGAGCAAGAGTCCTGAAAAGGCAAATGGGTTAGCGCAATGCTCAATGGCGTTGTATGATAGCTCGTTGGCAACCTACTTCTTCAACTCGTCGACGATAGAACCAGCCTGGAATTCCTGAACGAAACCGACAACGGCGTTGAGAAGCAACAGGCCGCAGATGACACCGAAATCAACCCAGTCTTCGAGACCAGCAGCAAGGACGGCAGCACCCTGTAGTCATACTAGTCAGCATCGATGCGGTAGAGTCGCGCGGGGTGACGTCACGTTTCGTTTCAACAGCCGCAGGGATAGTGGAGTGAATCGAAACGCTTCTTGACATGTGATGGCAACGTACCTCCATGACGAACTGAATGGGACCGACGAAGAAACCGAGGAACTTGAGGAAATGGTTCTCCTTCTCCTCCTTCATCTGGTTGAGACCGTACTTGCGACGGCGCTGGACAACCTCCTCGGATGTAAGACCGACACGGGTGTCAGTCTGGAGCATGTCCTCGGGGACGACACGGCCGCCACCAGGAGTGGCCTCCTCTTCTTCCTCCTCCTATTCATGAGGGTTAGTATGCTGAGCGTTACTGAATGGGTGTGCAGTAGGTCACTTACAGCATCGTGTCCATCATGGGACTCGAGATCCTCAATGAGGGCATCAATGTCCTCATCCTCATCGTCCTCAACCTTGGGCTTAGGCTGGTAAGCGGCAGCCTCCGCCGCCTTCTCGTCGAACTTTCCGCTCTCGATGTTGGTCGACAGCGCAGGAGCGCCGCTGGCCGAGTGGTCCGCCATTGGCGTTGTGGTTTGCAGATCAAAGCTCTGCTAGGCGTATATTAAGGTACTGTAGAAACGAAGACGATGTTAGGATTAGATCTCGAGATGAGCAGAGTCTGACAATTGAATGGGGGGAAGAAGTTGAAGTAGTGGTGGTGTATAAGTAGGAGAGGAGTGTATGGTAGGCAAAGCTTGAAGATCATAGGAACAGGTCCACAGGGCAAAGCAGCTCGCGTTCGGAAGTGGGATGGTGTTGGTGAATGGAGCAGATTTGGTGGGAGGACAGAGTTGCGGGCATATATAGACTTCGAGCAGACCGCAAAAGGTGAACGGACCTAGTAGGGTTTTCGGGCACGCGGTAGGGTTTTGTTTTGATGACCTAATAGGTGGTGAGGTATGTGGCGTAGTCGTTGGAAGATGGTGAAATCGTCCAAACGAAGCGAAGTAGACCGAGGGATAAGGGTCGAGAAAAAAGTATTAGGAGTTGGGGGGGGAGATTCACGACGAAGGGAGGGATTAAAAAAGCCTTCGAGCGTGAGGAAAAGAAGAGGAGGTGCGAATCGAGGGAGCGGGCGAGAAAGGTATTTCAATCTTTCCGGCCGGTGACCGAGCGATGAGCGACCTTTCCGGCCAAAGATGGAAGCCAACCTTCTTTGGCATGCACGCCAAAAGTGTGGGATTCGCCAGCTACGATCGAGTGGGCTGCAGGCCCCGGCACTGTATCGTACTGTACCCGGTACCTTGTCGTCCTTGTTGGTGCTGGTGCCCTGGCGAGCGCCCTGTCCGCCCACCAATGCAGTCACCTTCCAGTTCACCCTTCAATTCTCAATGCACCCACAGAGTCCACTTTCCAGACGGGCACCCCATCGAGCGGAACAGAGCGTGGAGACTGCGCTAGCACCAGGTACCGCGTACCTGCTTGCTAGTTCGACCGCTGGGACTACGGAACCACAACCGTGCACGTCCCTCCCTGGTCCTTCACTTTTCTGCCCAGAGCACGGCTCGCAAGAAACGACTTGTGCCATGGGATGACGGCCACCGACGGGCTCTGCGGCCCACGTAGGGTTCAACTTTTCGACAGCGATGGTGGGCCCGCGACCGCCGAAACCAAAGGGTCATGGTTTAATGGGATCAATGGGCATTACGTTAACGGGTCGATGATTGCTAGCAAGCAACGAGTTGGTCGGCCCTCGAATGAACCAGGAGCCCAGAGGAGCCGCCGTTCCGTTCGTAGAAAGAGAAGAGTGTTCGAATTGGATTCGACTTGAGCCCGCCTCCACGCGATGCCACCGTGTGCGCCTGTGTACAGACTGTTCTCGCTATCCGTTCTTTGCCTACCTTTTTGGTGGGTCGGCCTCAGGTCGGCCTCTTTGGTCCTCCAATTGACACGGTACAACTGCCCAGCGCGGGCTAAGCTGGCGAGGCGGACAAGCACTACCTTCCAGCGCACCGCACTAACTACAACCACGGCACGCCCCAAAGAGCAGACCGCGATTGAATGTGATTGCCTTTCCTTCCGAGAAGTCCAACCTCACAAGCATTGGCTGATACCCTTGCTATGAGCAGGGGTTTATAGAAAAGCGGGTCCCCAAGAGTGCAGGTCGCAATGAGTTACCGCAGGATACCTCGATCGTCCAGTGCGTCCAGGTACCTTCGCCCCACCGTCCGCCTTTACCCTCTGCGCGCTCACCACCACAAGCCGCAATTGAGTCCGTACTGAGGTACCTGTCCGTGCCTCTCCACCTGAGTACCCTGTCAGCCAAAAGCCTGCGGGATTTTCTGGCTGCCCACCTCCACACCAGCATGCGCAGCTTCTTATTGGCTCGCGCTTCCTGAATGACGACGAGGAAATCAGGAATCAGAAGGGATTTACAGTTTTTCCCACACAAAAGGCCCGGCGCGCGAGTGCCAGAGCGGCCTAGGGGCGTTGCCAGAGCCCCAGGGCCGCCGCAGTCGACCAGCACTCCCAACCTCACACTCAGCAGCGAATCCGCCGGCCACCACAGACTCACAAACGGCGAGCATGTCTCCAGAACACTTGGCGGTCAGCCGGCCCAGAGTTGCCATTGCACCAGGCAGTTTGGCGGTCACTCGGTATGGATAATGACGACTCCATAATTCATGCTATCTACCTCTCGGCCGCGCCAGTCGGTATGGCTTCGAACGGCCTCATCTGGCCCAGGCATCGGCTGCCTTCCTTCCCCTATGCGCTGCATTTGCTTTTATGAGATGGAATTGTGTGTTCATGTATCGCTATGCAGGCTGGCCAGGGGGAAGTCCAGAGTCGTGAAGCTCCACGCCAATTCCTTGGCGACAGAGCACTAAGATCAGACTACACACTACATCCTCGACAGTCTCAAGCTCTCGATTTCATAGGCGCGAACAAGCTTTGGCCCTCGCTGTCCGTCATGAACCGGAAGCTGGGGTACACCCATGCCGTGCAATTGCTTCGCTTTAACTGGCCAGTTAATGGTGGCCAGCCCGCCAAGAGCCCAGAAGAGCCCTTATCGTTGCCGTGAGAGCTCCATCCCTGCCGGCAACGACGAGAAGGGGAACCTAGTGTAAACGAATCGACGAATGCCTACCAGAAACAAACAGGCTTGGCTCGCCCATCCCAACCGCTGGAAACGGTGGAACGGTGTGGCCGTCTGCACTTTGCAGCACATGGCCAGTCTTCTCCGCGGGCAGTCCGTCACGATCATTGCTGTCGGCCTCGCCTGTCTCGTCTTCCATTGAGAAGTCACCGTCGTTCGCGACATGCTGCATGGCATACACTGACCCGTAGGCAACGGTCGAGCCCGTGCCTACCCGTCGGTCTGTTTTGGTTTTCCGTGTAACACTGCCATGGCAAATTAGACGGGAACGGGGAGTCTAGTGTAGGGTCTTGGATTCAACCAGACAGGTCTAAGACGTTGCGTTACGGTGTTTTTGCCGGCTCGGTCTGATGAGATCGGACTTCCGTCTGATCGGTATCTGGGACATGACAAGTCACGGTGAAGCTGTTTCCCATGCTGACGTCGAATTGGGTGCAGTGTACACTACGGCACTGGTTTGCACCCTAGAATGCAATATGCCTAGGTATATCCAACCAACATGTAAAGCTACTGGTCATAGATGAGTATTCGTCAACGATATTAGGGATCACTAAAGGTTATAGCTAGACGGATATTCAGGCAATATAGGTTTCATGTCGAGCTGGTCAATTTCCCTCAACTCATTCTTTCCCAAGTCTGGCCGCGGCCGAGGCTGGATTAAGGTTGTCTGTCCCCTCAGTACCGGGACGGGAGCTGCACGTTGTCAAGTAACACGGTATATCGAGACTCGCCATATGGAAACAGCAATGAAACAATCAGTATAGCAACACACGATTGCCCCTCCATGCAAAGAGTCACGTTTGCCTTGTCCTTTGTAGGGAACCGAGGCTGGTTGTCAGTGGTGATCTGATATTACCCTCACCAGGCAGGCAGTCCCTCATCACGAACGGGGGGAAATGGATCTACGTCATTGTATTCAGGCCCCCAATGATGAGCAATGCGAATCAAGCCAACAAGGGAATGAAACGTTATCACTTTCCTCAATCTGAGCAAAAGGTGAAAACCGACGACTGACACTCCACAATATCAAGCCGCCGACGTTCCCGAACCCTATCAAATGTAAGAAATTTCTTTCTTCTATTTTTCATGTCCAATCGACCGCGGGAGTTCCCTCGCGCTACCATGCAACGTGCGCCCCATATTGCCGTACAAAGCACATTGTGAGGTTCGTCGCAGAGGCGATATTCCTTGTTGAAAAACTGAAGAGAAGAAAAATCGGAAAACTCCACACAAGGGATTACCCTGAACTTTCATCGGCAAGCAGTGGTTCAGTTGACGGCTCGCAAAGCCGATGGAGGCACCGCTTGCTGCTCTGTCGCCAGCGAACCATCGTTTTTAGTGTAGCGCCCTTCCGACCTCTATGGCAGGGTAGCACTGGTCCCCCTGCCCTGTCACGGCAGCCTCTCACGGGTTTTCAAGAGGTGTCGCAACCGGCGGGTGTTGAACTGCAAATCGGACAGCAATCTCCCAGCCTTGAGTGTTGAAGGACCGAAGAGGAGCACCTTGTAGACAAGACCAGGAACCGCGGCGTGTGCCATGGGGAAGATCGCCGCCTCCGCGTCTTGGGGAGATTACAGCCCATTCGGCAGCGATCGCGACCGGCTTCACTCTTCAAAGAACTTTTGCATCTTAATGCCCAGAAACAATGGTTTTTAGCCCGTGTTCTGCCCAGGCCGACTTGGCACCTTGAACTAGATTGCTCGCTGAGCACACGGTTCTAGGCCCAGTTGGCTGTTTTGGCTTCCGCGCACATTTTACGTGCACAATATTGCCTCCTACGCGGAAAAGGACGCAAGCCTGGCGTGTCCAAGCTGTTCATGGTGTTGTTGTCTCCTACACCACCGCGATACGAAAATGACGAGGCGGCCCAGCCGACCGGGTGTTGAGAAACTACACACACTGTCGAGTTTCGATTGACCGGAAAACGGCTGGCGACTTGGCAAGAGACAACATGATGGTCAGCTACCTGCCCCCCAGGACGGGAACAACACGTCTAGCGTAAAGCCCGTCAGCCGTGTGCCAGTGCCAGTGCCAGTGCCAGTGCCAGTACTACCCGTCTGCCAGCAGGCCAGTGCCGAGGTGTTGGTGCTGGTCGCCTCCATCCAAGACACCAAAGCCAAGCCCAAAAGGACAAGGCGAGAATGTAACCATCCACACATACACCGCAAAATCCCCCAAAACCTAAAACCATCGCAGTTCGCTCGGTTGTTCTCCGGCCTCAAGATGGATATACCGATGGATACGGTTATGGATTGCGTGCGGATGGAGAAAACGAGGGTGAGAAAATCGTGGAAGCGCGGGAAAGGGCTGGTCCATGAATCACGGGTCAGGTCACGGCGTGCTGGGAACCGATCGACCAGTGTGCCGGTCTCGTCAATGAGGCATCGTCCACTTGTCGTCGCTGTTGCCGTTGTCATCGCAGGGTGCACACCACCTGATCACCACGGGCGCCGTCGTCTCGAAGAGAGAGCCAAGCTGCCCTGGCTGCATGGAACAAAAAGCGGTCTGGAGGCGGTTTTTCTAGAAGGTTTGGAATATGCACGCCCTTATGCAACCATATTTTGGTGGGATGGAGCATCAGATGCCCCCACAGGCAACGCCAACGGATGGCAGTCGCCAAGTGGCGCGCAAGTAGAAGGAAGCCATGTTCTGACCAATAAGGAGCGTCAAGATATGGAGAGCCTCAAGGGCTGCAAGAACAACGGGCATGAAGGTGGGAACGAGATATGTACCGCACATGCACATGCTAGCAAGGGAAGGTGCGTGCATTCTGCAACTTCTTCCGAATCTGTGGGGATTCGGCTCTCTATGCTGCATTGACATCAATTAACTGGAAATCACTTCTTTCTGATCTCACGACTTGCTTCGAGTGCTTCTCCGGGCACAAATTGTACATGACAGCCGAGGTAGCATGGCAAAAGGCAGATTACGTATCGTGGGTACCGGCCATGAAACAATTACAATCTTCCAGGAACCGTTATAACCCGGCGATTATTCCCGTCACGAGCGAAGAAGCAGCAAAAGGTAAAAAGAGATGGCAGCCGAGACAAGAGAGGCTGGCTTGCGACCAATCGAGGGCCAGTAAGCGAATGTGGGCGAGTGTGGGTGAGAAGTTGGGGGATTTCCGCTTTCTTTGGGGTTGATGGGGTCTAGCGGCTTCCTTCACCGTTTTACGCTTTTACCCGTACGAGCATTGAATGGTCGGCTGGTACGCCTCTGCATGGCTAAAATGCTAGCCCGGTACGTTGCCGCTACAAGAAACGGGGGCCAAATAGGGAACAAGCTGAATGTTTTTTGTGTGAAGATTAAAGTTTTTTGCTACTTACAAAATTATGCTAGCAAGTTACATCCATGTAGAGGTGTAGGCCGTAGTTGTTGTGGGTGACAGACTGGACATCGAAACAAAATTGCGGACGAAGAGCACTCGAAGGAAGCACACAGCGCTTGAGTGGATGACACCGGAACAGGCACGGCACTGATAGTCGGTGCTCACGTGGATAATTCTCGGGTGAGCCGTTACCGATCGGACAGGGAATCCTCGCTCGGTCGGCACCCAATGTTCGCGATTGTGCCATATTTCCGCGGGGGCGGTCGTGGCCATCCGAGACCGGGGCTGCTAAGTACTCAACCGCCACGCTAAATTGCCCAATGGCCACGCCGCTTGGCCTGGATCTCGGAGGAGCATGAACACCTCATCACCGACATTTTACGGCGCCGTCGAACTCATCATCAGCGATATCACCTTGTTATTCCCATGGCTTCATGTCCGGCGAAGGCAGTGACGCAACGGCAGCCTCAGGGGCCGGCGACGACGGTTCGACGACGGTTCGACGACGGATGCTGCCAAGCTCTCCCGCCCACCACCCAGACGGCGGCGGCGCTAGGAGACGACTCCGAACCTTGTGGGAAAACTCAGGAACAGGAAATTGTCTCCTGCTTGTCTCCATGGCTCTCCGTTCCTCTCCAGTTCTTGGCCCTTGAGTAGCCGCGCCAAGGCGCTTCCAGCGGAGAAGGCCTCTCAATTCGCACCGAAATTGGCTCCGTGGCTTTCCAGTCAATATCACTGTTATCACACACAGTGAGCACTCGCTCTACACACAGCGAGGCACAAAAAATCGCTCTCCATGTGCACCCTTGTGTCCTTGCATATCAGGGCGACAGGCACGCATTGGCCGCGGATCCTTTTTTGCCGTTTTGGTGCCGTGCAGCCGTGCGATCCATGGACCCTGCGTGGACCCTTTTCTTCACAAAAACTGGCTGAAAAACCAAAAAAAAAAAAAAAAAAAAAAACCAAAAAAAAAAAAAAAACCGCGGTATTTAAAGAGTGGTACTGTAGTAAGCACGAACCGGAACTGGTGACCGCTATCGCTTGTTGTTCATTGCCGTTTCGGTGCCGGCTGGCAAATCCCCCCAACTGCCTTGAATCAGCACAGTCTCTGCAAGCTTCTGCTGGCTTCCTCCCTGGCAAGTCGATATATGTGGACTGTGGACTCGTTCCTGAATACAGGATCCCTTCAGCCGCCCGTGAACCATGAGCCTGTGAAATCTTCAAGACATCTCCAGGTCTGGCCACTGTATACACAGTACACCAGGAAGCTGACGCAGAGATGCAATTTCCTGAACTGGAGCACTGTCGGCGATATTCGCAGAAAAGAGTCTGCGCATTCTGCAACCGTAGTAGTATCTGCCCCTGCTGCTGACGTCCCTGTTTGCGGCCCGTCCATGATCCTGCAATGGAAGCCTCGAATGGGGTAGCCGCGGCGGTTTGCATATAACCAGGGGCAACCGCCGCTGCCAGCGTTCCCAGTGAGCGGGCATCTTCGGACATTAAAGACGACTAGACGCTACCCCATAATAGCGAACGCTATGCGCGCGTTATCGGCGAAAACTAGGTAAACTAGGGAAATCCAACACGCGCCTCGGCTCGCCGACGAACCCAAGCCACCCAGCCAGCCACGTCAAGTCGACAAAGGCCCAGAAGAGAGGCACACGAGCAGCTACCTATACACCGGGCCGAACATATCAGCACCAGCGACGCCGACAACAGTGATGACGTCTGATTACTGAGGCTCGGAATTGTAGAAAAAGGGGGCGGCGAATTGTTTCAATCACTTTCACTCTAGTTCCAGCAGCTACAGCTCCAACAGCTAGTCTACAGCTTCATCTCACCATATTCTTCTGCTCCGAACCGGAAATATCAATCACACAATCATCACCTCTTTTCTACCACCAATTCGACATGGAAAGCCGGCTACAGTCATTGTCAAGCTTCGAATTGAGCAACTCCACCAAAATCTTTCACGGGCTGACGCCAAAAGACTGTTCGATGGAATGATGAAGTCAATTGCAATGACCAAAGGTCACTTACCACCCATACGCCAGTTCTTCGTTATGAGAGGAACCCTCACTTCAACTCCCGATGATGTGCTGGGCAATCCGATACGCGAATTTGAGGGGAAGTGGAAAGTGGTTGAAATGAAGTTGCGGGATGGTCTACCAGCTAGTTTGGCGCGGCTGCGTGGGGGGGCGGGCCTCGACAAACGTTGGGGGTTGGTGCCGTTGTTGCCAGACTGACAGAGTGGGTGGAAATCTGCGAGCGAGTGTTTTCGGTTCCTGAGGGAAAACGACCCGTAACCAACAAAGCAGCACCAGCTTATCGCTGCTGTTACCTGTCTGTCATTGCGACTTGACGCTCTCACAGGTTCGCCACGACACGACATTGGAACTTTTTTATTTTTTTGGTCATCGTCGTTGCTGTCGTTCGAAGATTTCATTTCAATCTTACCTTCACTCTCACCAGAACAGGAAAGCTGGCCTAGAGCAAAGGACGGGATGGACAAACACGGACATTTCACACCTTCGACTCAGACATCCACCCCACTTTGTGCTTATGTGGTAGGTACCTTTTGGGACTTAGCTTCGACTTTCTTGTGCACCGGGCCAATTCTTACACTACTGCCCCATGTTCCGATGCAACGAACTGCAAGGCACGCGAGACAACAAACAAACCCCACTATTATGGCCACCGTTATTGGACAACTGGAAACACGACTTGTGGATCATTTGTTGTGGAGATAGTGACAGAGGGCCGAGGAGAGAAAGAAAGGAAGAGAGAGAGCCGACAACAACGAAGAAAGCTGGAACCGAACCTTCGTTACATTGTTGCCCTGCGATCCGACCACAGGTGGCTAAAGTAAATCGTGTCACCGCAGTGCAGGCTTGCCTGGGGCTCCAGACACCGAGGCTAGGAGGGGAGCCAAAAAAGCAGGGGAAAGGAGAAAACCCACTTTTTCTCTGGCTCCCCAGCCATCGCTTTGCGGATTTGCCAGTTGTCATTGAAACCGCTTCCTGTCTGTCTTTCCCTACTTACTTACTCTCATGAGAGGAAGGGAGGAGCATGATGAAAGGGCAAGCGAAAAATGCAAATAAAGAGTGAGCAAAATAACAGAGCAAGGTCCTGAAGTGATCTCGGCGATTTGTTGTAGTTGGCGATGATGATGAAAGAATTATGCCGTGTTTGCTAAGGTACGAAGGGACTGAGGGAGGATTGCGGTCACGCAAAAGACCATTCTCCTCCCTGATTGCAAGTTTCATCATTGACCCGTTCAATCGTCCTCGCTAATCCTGCGTCTCTGTCGGCTTTTTTCGACAGTTGTAATTTAACTTTTTTTCTATGTTTTTTTTTTTCTCCTACCTGCTCATCAATCCATGACATCCGAGGTCTCCGAAGTGGATGAACCTGGAAGCAAAGGCCGTCGCCAAAAAGACGGACAACCATCATCCAAGTACTAACAAACCCCCATGGTTCGGTCCAATTGCGTCTATGCATTTCCGTCGTCTATCGACAGCTGCCTTTCTCGTTATCCTCCAGTTTTGCCAGAACTGTGTTCACAACCTGCACAATGGTCGTTTTTGTGCACAACAGCTTTGTCAATTAAAATGAAAATTGCAACTTCTCGTTCTTTTGCGTGATTCAATTGACACTATCAAAGCCAAGCGCAACACTACTTCCAGGCTGGGCGTCGCAAGCCAACTGCTTACCTTTATCCTTGCAGGTGAAATCTCAGCTTCCCATCTTGCGGATGAATGGGGGGGAGGATCAAACCTCTCGACTTACGCAAAATGATCAACGTACAACACACTATACAGTACAATCCGCAAAATTTACCTTCAATGCACACTTACATGACCGCCAGTCGCAGTCTGCAGTTCGCAGGCGCAGTTGTTGTTATAGTTGTAGTGGCCAAGACTTAGAAAGTGACACAAAAGCAATTGCCAAGAAATACCAAGTAAGATGCAATGCAAGAAGATTGGGGGGGAAGTGGGAGATCAATTGACAAAGGCGGCCGGATACACGTCCCGTCGAGGTTCGCTGCAAGTCTGTTAATTGGCAGGTTACATTCCATCCTTATACATAAGGGCAAATTTTAGGCACTCACGATCGGTTAGAGTGGCTTGACATATATGTACTGTAACGGAACTGAGTCTATTATCATAGGCGTGATTGATTTTGGTCGAGGGGAGAGGAAGAGAGAGAGGATTCTAATGGGTTAGGAAAGAAAAGACTTGGAAGCTTTCGAGAAAAGGTGAAAGAAAAGGGAAGATGATCTCAGTTGCTCAAGTCTTCTCGGTCGATTGCATGTACCGAGCCTCAAAGAATACTACACGATGGAAGTTGTCGTCGAAGTTGCTAGTCAACGGCTTCGGAGTTTTGTGAACTTACTAGTTTGATCATGTGTCGTTGATCGGTCCGTTTGTTTTGATGAGTCCTCCACACAGTTCAGTCCAAACAGGGGATGCAATGGAAGTCAGGCAACAACCAGGAGATGCAATTCCTCAAGACGCGCACAGCTTTGGGGAAAAGAAACAGCGTAAAAATCTGTCATGTTGAGACACCGAGACAACATCCATCCAAAAGAGCCAAGACCAAGAGATGCTGTGTGAGTCCCGCCAAGAGAATGAGAGACACTTGTATAGTTGAGATCAACAACAACACAACCAAACATCGAAGCGGTAAAGGCCAACAACTCATTCATGATGATAAGACCATGAGAACCAAGAAAAATTGTGAAACCTAAACTGCGGTGTATCAAAGAAGTTTACCGTTTTTTTTTTGTTTTTTTTTTATATCTTGGCTCATGTGTGGTATCGTTCCAAGTATCTTGAAAATGTTGACTTGTTGCTATCATCCAGGGGAAGCTGTTGTTTGATTGGTATGGATACAACTTGACAGGCAAGTAGTGTTCACCCTCAACCTCTTGGCTTTGAATGCTGAAAGGGAGACGGGGCACAAGTGTCAGGTCAACGGTGTGACGAAAAAATGCGAGATTTCGGGTTTTGCCTCCGACACTTGAAATGTGTAACACGATTCATTTATCAACTTTCTTGTCATCTGCTCATGTCCCGTTCGAGGATGGAATGAATGTTAACTATAACGAAGAGACAAACGGTCTGGCCTAAGCTGGACTGCACAGCCCTAAATATGTAGTCTAGGTAGCGAATCACAAAACTTGAACGGCCAGCGCTATATGATATCGGTCTGTTTCGAGCTTTATATGCCGAGTCCAAGAACCAGGTATCAGATCTGCTGTCCTGAAAGGTGACTTGCCCTTGCATTATGCATGAAGGGTCGTCGGGGTTTCCTTTGTTGGAGTTGGTCGTCACCTGATAGGGACAGGAACCTTACGCTGCCCTCTATTCTTGTGAACGGTACTTACTGCTGAGGTCTGATTTGGAAATTCGCATGTGTAAAGAAGTTCTCTGTATTTTTTTTCTCCCCGTGGCTGTATTGATCTCTTTGCCTACTTACCAGTCCTTGCGAACCCGAGCAACTTCCTTTATTGAGCTTCTTTTATGCCAGTGTCAACTCTAATACCAACTTCAACTTCAATCTCAACCATTGTTTCGCCTTGGTCACTTGCCTTCACAATGAACCTTTTGCCAAGTCCCCTACCTGTCTATGTCAAACAACAACATGGCTGATTCTATTTCTTTGAAAGTTCAAAATTTTCGGCCGTTACAAGAACCTCTTTCACTTGACTACAGCCTTGGAGCGGTTGTTTCCAATCTCAAGGTGTTGTACACCTACTTGGCGACTTGGCGACGGGATGACCAGAGTAAAGCGTGACATGACTGAGTTGCATGAGCTGAAAGAGTTTGCAACTTGGCAGTTTCTCTTAAAGGACCTCAGATGATTGTCTTGTTGCCATGACAGCAGCTACCCGATTGTCTCTCTGCTTGGCTGTTTGTGAACTTTGACGCTCTCTCTTGGCGGTCGGTGATCTCATCGTCAGGCTGATTTTGGCTTCTGTGAAGTGTGTTCCATTGGCTTGAGCATCTCTGGATGTGAGCCTAAACACAAGTGGGAAACAGCCCAGTACACGCTGCTTGAAAAGCTGTCCTGTCTCAGGCCTCTTTTCGAGTACATGTTGCTGTAGATCGTGTGATGTTGACTATATGCAATAGAATCGGAGCTAAACTTTATAATCGGTGAGTAGCTAGTCTCGGGTCTAAACACAGACTCCGACTTTTGTTAGCCATCAAGAGCTCAACCTCAAAAGCATTTCAAAAAGAAAACCAATCAAACATTCTAGTGAACAGAGAACTTACAGCGTGTCGTTGTCCACTTGTGACTTACAGGCACACAAGACCCAGGATGAGGTGCTGACTGGCGGTAACTTACATGCATTCCGAACTCTCGAACAAGTGTCAATTTAGGCAACAACCCAAGGTAACAGATTGATTTGTTATCGATTGTTGCACGGTTACTGTCAAAGAACATGGAGACAATGTATGTACTTAGGTATTGGTGGAGGTATTACAATAGATGTCAAACATGTCTTAGATTCAGAACCGTTGGAAAGGTACTTACTTGCCGTTATTTGCCTCACCTCGCTAATACTTGAGATTATTGCTTTGTGTTCCGTACCTTAGTTACACCGTACCTAAGTACCTTTCCGGCTACAGTGTATCAACAAGGATCGGAGTTAATCATTCATGTTGCGAATGCGGCGCAGATCCCGGAAAGCTCCTCGAGTGCTGAGTACTGATGGGTAAGGTTTAGACAGTAGTCTTCGGTCTAGAATTTGCACAAAACTGAAAGGTAGTTTGGACCAGTTGAGGCTGAAGGGTGGCTGACTATATCAACAATGCCATTGTTCGCTTTATGGTTTCTGTATGCAATAGTCGACATTGGATGCTGACAATGACGGAATGGTTGATAATTGCATATGATCGAGTTTTTAGATCTCACTCCCTTGTTGTCTTCCATGCCCTGACCCGTCTGTTGAATGTCGAGGTACGAGTCTGGCGCAATCGTGTACAGGCACTTATGGTAACGCGAACATCATTGTCTCGAGATCGATGATTTTGGCATTGCTGGCTTGTTGACCACTTCACGTGGCTTCCACGTGGAGTGGCATCAACGCCTTGCCGTCGGTGTCAGGCGGAACTTAGCTTCCGCTTTGTTGCGAAATCGTTCTTGGTCTTTCGAAGCAACTCGGATCGCCATGTATGGTGCTCTCGAGGTCACTGTACAAAACTTGTGAAAACAACACGTGTAGTTGGAATCGGTGATAGTGTAATTGCTGTATGGGTCAAAGGCCGCATTTAGTGGCAAGCTTCCGACATGTTCGGCCGGTTAACGCTCCCGGGATCGGTCAAGCAACAGCCTGGTCTATCCGGAGTTCCGGATGCCTCAAGCAGGTGTCAGCGTATTCCCGAAGTCATATCCGGCGTTGCAACGAGAATGTAAGGAGAGGCATATGATATCACGACACATGCCATGAAGAATGGGTGGGTTTATGCTCGCTTTTTTTTGTCTTCCGAACTTTCCGGATGGGTGGCCAAGACAACACGGATCTCGTCATGTTGCGGAAACGAAGTGCCAAAAAGCCAATAGTCAAGCTGAAGACCGCATTCGTCCTGTTTTTGCAAACGTGGTTCATTTCAGGACTGAGTGACTGTATGCTAGTAGTGATGCCGATGCCATGCGGATATGCATCCCACCGCATTGATGTGGCTCAACAGCTGCCCTCATGGGTAGTCTCACACTCCAGCACGCGCCGTTCATTCGACGTACACGAGCTTGCTGGAACATTGATACAGACAGCGAAGAGCTTGAATTGCTTCGTGCAGGACAAGGGGTCCTTTCAGGACTCAGGTGGTGGCTGGTTAGGAACAAGGAAAGCCAACTAACTACACCAGAAGCCCCAAGATTCCAAGTTCTTATACCTTCACGTCTAAGCGCACAGCGCACCTTCCCAAGCTGTCAAGCTCATGTTCCCAATGACTAGGTATGATTCTTGATACCAGTAGCCATGTGTCCAGTCTCTCGATGATAGAACGAGTGGCATCGTACAATACGCCAAGGCTGATGATATGCATCTCAATCGCACCTTCCACCTTCAAGAAGCTTCCCATAATTTCTCTGACATCCAGAAAGTCCACTCTCCAAACTCTGTGGTGTTAATGGGATCCGTTGTCATCTACTTAACTCGAAAGAGGGTGGAATAATTGCCACTACCATGACTAATATGCATCACCAGGGGCAGACAGTCACACTTTGTGGAAAGGAAGAAAGGAAGAACGAAAGGAAGAACGAAAGGAAGGAGGGGAGGACAATTCTTGCATAGATAAGCTACTCATCTGTACAGGTAGGTACGTTATGGTTGCGACAAGTAGAAGACAAGAGCGACTGATATGCCTGCCTCCTTACCTGCCTGCCTTGTTAAGCCAAAGGCTCAAAGACGACGGGAGCGAGGTAAGCCTGAGTGGTGCACAAATCACTGAAGTCAAGCCAAGCTAAGTCCGGAATCGTACTTGGCTCACTTGTCAAAACTGCGGTCAGATTCGACTTGTAGTCTCTACGCAGATCGAGGTTGGTTTGTTCCATTATTCGACTTGTTCAGAGCCCAGATAAACCTGGCCAAGAATCACTACCACTAAACGGTTTCCCGGATGAGGTGCTTCCTGTTCTGCAGGAAAATTTAACATCAAGCGACGACTGGGGTTGGCAAGTTAAATCTGACTTCAAACTTGGATCGCTTTGGCTTGCTTGCGTCCGGCTTGACTTGTGTGGAGTAGTGTTCGAAAAGCAGAGCGACGTCGAGTCGCCCTCGACTCAAAATCATACGCCTGATGGGACGGAAAAGAAGAACTGCATTACTGGCTTACTCCGACACGTAACTTTTGAAAGAGTAATATGGTCGAGTTCGTCAAGGCTGTGCAGTACGTGGGTAGGTAGGCGATATGATCTGGAGTATACCCCCAACATGTGTCGACGGAGGCTTTCTTTGCTCTCGCTTGTCTTGTGAGTGAAGGTGATGAAGTGATGGGAACTATCTCATTCACATATACTTCTCTGGTATCTAGTGTCTGACGAGTCTTCCGGCGTCCCGTCACTCAAAGTATCGCAACGCGAATAGAGTAGGTATTTCGGTAAAGTCTAGTCTTTTGGAAAGGATAGAACTTGCGGCTCTTGATATTGACTGTTTTTGATACAGGAAAGGTGGTGTTATAGCACAAGGTTGCACTACTACCATCTTTCCAAAGCAGTAAGCCTTCTTTGCTGCCTGAACGCTACCGTATACTTCTTCCAAGACTCCGCCTTCTGGGACCTTCCCGCCAAATACCTCGAGGATGAAGACATTTTGGCCCTCCATGGTAGTTCAGGAGATCAGGACATGGTGTTGCTGACCCTGAAGCCACACATCAGCTCTTAAAGTCCTATAGTCTCCTACGTTTCTAAGAGCTGGAAGGGGTTGTCAGGACACTGCCATATCTTCCCTTTCTGACTGCCGTTGAAGCTCACTGACATGGCAATCGTCATGTTGTGGCTGTTACTTATTGTCGAGCGAGAACGTCGCCTTAAGCCGGGGAGGTCCGTCAATTGTGCTAGGCAAAATCAAGCACAATTGCAAGGCCCGAACGGTAACCCCAAGACTATAAGGCCGCCATCATGAACCTGGCGATGTCGATGCCTGGTCTCTCAAAAATCCTGGAAGGTGGAGGTTGCAGAGTGTATTGAAATGATGGGCATGGAGGTCGAAATTCTAGGCGCCATAGGGTTGTTTTCATCACAAGAACTATTCAGTCAAAGATATGACACGCCGATGCAGTACGGGGCAAAATCATATAACTTGACTTACATTCGGAAATAACCGAAACGCTTCGTGACACATCGCGTTGTGTATCTATATCGCCCTCTACTACATAAGCCACCGATTATCACCGACTGAATCATCTGTTAATGTCGATCAACTCCAAGCATCGACACCTGGCATCCGTTTCTGCCCATCTCATCAAAATCGTTAAGGCGTGAAATAAGAGACATGACCAAGATCAACAACGAAGTTCAGTCTTGGAATACCAGAGATCTTGGATGTACCAGTTGGAGAAGGAGGACCTGCGCGTGAGACCGTTCCCCAAAACCAAACAAATGACCCACACCGCACCAACCACGCCCATTTCCGTTTCCTTGGTAACAGAAAAATTTCTCTATAAAGATGTCGTATGAGGACAGAACCCATCCCGTCCATCCATCCTCCTGAACCTACCGACCAAACCAACCCGACCGATCAACCGAATATTTGAAGATGAAAAAAGAAAACAAAAAGAAAAAGAAAAGACAAATAACGCGATCTCGATCAGCGCCGGCGTTAATTATGCGTTTAGTGCTTCGCGGTGACGGCCTCGCCGGTCAACTTCTCGACGTAGGTCTTGGCCCTGTTATTGGGGTAAAAGCGGTCAGCATCTCTACAGTGACAACAAATGATTAGTCAGGGTCAGGAACTCACATATCGCCGAAAGCAACCATGCAGACGGTCTGCCAAATACCAAGACCAATGCGGGGGGTGACACCGCGGTACAGGCCCTTGATGCCGTTGGTCTGGTAGATGTACCTGAAGGTGTTGCCGACAGTCATCTTCTTGGGGCGGTTGGGGTCCTCCTTCTTGCTCTGCATCTCGACGCGGATGACCTCGATGGGCTGGTTCCAAGCAGAAAGACCACCACCAAGGGTGGAGGCGAGAATCTTCTCCCACGCGGCCAGCTTCTGTCCCTCCTCCTTGCCGGTGGCCTTGCGGATACCCTGCTCAGCAAGGCGGGAGAGGCCAAAACGGGAACCCCAGTTGGTCATCTGGCGAATGGCAACGGCGTTGACGCCCTTGTTGATACCGCGGATACCCTCGCGGCGGTAGATGTCCATGAAGGTGGCCCAAGTGCCGGGGGCCTTCTGGCCGGAGGCGCTCATCTTGTGCTTGGTAATCTCGACCGTCTTCATACAGGTGCAGAAGCCCATGGTGGCATACGCCTGCGCAACACCACCAACGATACCACCGGTGATACCGGCAACGAAGTCACCGGCGCCGGCGGCACGAGCATGATATTCGGCCTCGGAGGCAACGAAGAGGAGCACGGCACCCTTGGTGGAGCCCTCAATCCAGGCCCATGGGATAAGACCCTGGTAGACTGATTGACGAAGAGCATTCGTTGATTAGCTTCCAGACTCCAAGTGAAAATGGGAGAAATCAGAATGCGGGAGAGTACGGTAGGGTTGAGCGAGTAGGTAGGTGAGGCAAAGGCTGAGGGAAGCGCTAACTGATGCTGATCTCCGGTCGTCCGGGGAGCTTCATATCATCACTTACAGCCAAAGATACCACCACGGTTCCAGATGCGGCGGAGGGCAGAGGCAAAACTATCGCTGCGGTTGGCAGCCATGGTGGTCTTGATGACCTCCAAGGGTTGGCCGAGCGTGGTGACCTCGAAGAGGTTGAGACCGGCACCCAGAAGCAAGTTGGAGAACTTGACGGGCTTCTTTTCCAGCTTCTTTGGCGCTGGGGCCGGGACGGAGGCGACGGCGGCGGACATGGCTGATCGAATGTTGTCGGATTACTGGGGCCCTGACCAAGGGATTCGGGTGCTTCTTCGCAAAGTTGAGGGGGAAAGGGGGCTTTTGGAGGTGGGAGAGCCTGAGGTAAGCCGAGGCGGAGATGGGCTGCTGTCACCGGTTACTCGGGTGAAGTGACCGACTTCGGTGGAGTAATTGGAGTGTACTTGGCTTCTTTTGCCGGCGGGCCTGACCTTGCTGCTGGAGTATTTCTCACAATGATGACGATTGTGACGATAGCGAACGGAGTTGTCGACAGCAACGAGTCGATGGCAGCAGGATAGCAGCACGTGAAGTCGGTTGGAATCCGGCTCGGTAAATTTGAAAATTCGAGGGTATCTGGCTTCTGTCTTGGTAGGCTGCAGCAAGCGATGGCGGCGGGAGGAGACCTGTTTGTTGCATGTTGTTAATCGGGGCGGTTCTCTCGGTCCATGGTGTCAAGTTGAAGTGGATTCATGCCCAGCACGCCTAGATAGGTCTGGCGCCCAGCACGACCACCGAGAGCGCTCAACTTGGGCATCTTGGGCGTCTTGGTTTTGCCCTAGGCCATCTGGCTTCTAGCCGCGATAGGATTTGCCCCACTAACCTTGATTGAGAGAACGACGGTTCGATTCGGTGGACGACGACGATAGTGGTGATGAGAAGATGTCACTTGGGTGCGTGGCGGATGTTTGGGTTTTGTTCAAGCAAAGTGTTAACTGTTCCTCCTCGTCTTTTTGCCGGTCTCAACAACAAAACTCAACAAAGAAGCCAATTGGAAGCGACGATTGTGTGGTAGAACTAGACGCGCGTGGTGGATTGGACACGGTTGTAATGCTGTGTCCCAGGACGAGGGGGAGGGTTGAACAGCACACGGGGGGGTTGAACGATTCGGGGGTTCAAGGGTTCACCATACGATACGGCAGCGTACCTGTACCAATTCCGTTCGTTCGGACCGACCCCGACGATGCCTAGGCCGTGTGTTACGCTTACAGTAATGGCTGACGGTCAGATCCTGTGCATTATCATCAAATGCTAGCTAGTACCTATGCAGATTGACAAAAACCGAAAGCTAGGGCAGGTAAGCAATGAACACAAGATCACTGTAATCCTCCGACTTCATCTCTTACTCTTTGTGATGGAATCGAAGGATGCTTAGAGCAGTGGAAGCGGCCATGATTACAACCATACTTACTCTGATCCGTAGTCCGTGCCACAAAGATACTGTACTAGTACTGCGTGCTTATATTACCGTACCGTATCACGAATCTCGAGCTTGTACCAATACCACATACTGTACTGTTCGACCTGCACATAACGATCAGCCATATAACGATATTCTGGTTATAACGTTCAAGATCACTGGAACGGTGCAGATCTGTATGGGAGTAACGATCAACCTTCGTATTACGATTTCGATCAGATTTTGACGGCGAGCCACACCAAAATCGTTATACTTGGGGGGTTTGGCTCAGTTCTGAGACGTCTAGTGACAGGCCATTACAGCTCGTAACGGCCAGGAGTGGGTCCTTTTAGTTATCAACGGCCTTCTGATTAGTCTAGAAGCCCAAACTAGCCTACCTTACATTAACGATATTCTGGGCATAACGATCAAAACACCAGAAACACCCTTGATCGTTATGTGCAGGTCAAACAGTATCAGCATAGTTATCTCAGTCCCAGGTGCTTGACGTCGGGACAACATCAACTCGAGAAAATATAGAAAATTCGGAATGTTACAGTAACGTCTACTTGCCGGTTCCCAGCCCTTCTGGAATTTACGATAATCGGCGGATTGATGATGTGAGACTGTGGCGCCTTGAAGCAGGAAAGAGAAGTATCAATCACTGCAGCTGAATTTCCCAACCGTATGCCTCGGCGTTCCCAACAACCAAGTGCGCCAAGGGGGGGGGTGGGGGCACGTTTGTGACTGAGGTGCCAGGGCGGGCAGGGGAATGTCTGGGCATTCGCGGACAGCTTTGGGGAAATGTTGGAGAGCCCCGCGGCCAAGCTCTTCCCGTCGTTTGCCAGGTTTGTCGCGGGGTTCCGAATGGAGATGGGTCAGCGACAGGTACCTTTGACAACTTTCCATCTTCATTCAACCTCCTCCAAGAACCATACAAAAGCTGATGAAAGGAATCATGGTTCTCGTGACGCCAGTCTTAGGAATTCATGAGGCGAAAGTCCTATCGGGTTCCTGCCAAACACATCTGCTGAGAAGGAAAAGCTACCTCCTACAGTAAAACAGACCCAAGGAAGGGAGCCACTTTGGGGATACTACATGTCTTCTTCTTGGCTTCCAGGGTAGCTCTTGCTGCATGGACGGCTGCCGGGGTCCAAAGTCGCACTCCGGCCTCCAGGGGTCTAGCAACATTACATGATTGGCTCTGCACGTCACATGCGCCAACACAGTCCCCAGCGTTCTTCCTATTGACTGCCTGCCGCGGACAAGAAAACCCCTGGATGGGCTCAAAGGCTTCAATTGCTCAAGCGACGCCTGCGTCATTGTCGTGAGACCTTCAATGATGTGAGCGGTTTCGTTAAGGGAATTGCCATCAAAGAACGCGTGTGTGGTATATTGTCGTCATATGTATATTACAAGCGAATGAAATGGATGATATCGCCTTCCAACAACCCCGGATGTTTCTCCACATGTCTGTACACACACCAACCCTCTTGGTGCCTTGTAGTTCACGATACATCATCTGAGGCGCGAAAAGGCTGCTGCTTGAAATGAAGATCCCATCCATTCTATGCTGAAAAGAACCGAAGCCCGACCGTTTTCCGACCGTCGCGCCAAAATACCTGACCATTACTACTATCACAACAATCGCTTGATTTACAGCTTCTTGCAGATCTCGATCCACTTGTCAGTGGAGTAAGACTTGGGCCTAGAGTCGAAGTGTTAGCCATAGCCCTGAACTGACACGATATCATATGGCAGCAAGACATACCTCTCAATGGGGGCACCGACGGCGCGGTCGATAATCAGCTGAGGAAGGACACCAATGGCGCGGGAAACACCGAAGAGAACAGTGTAGTAGTTGGCCTCAGTAAGACCATAGTGCTGGAGAAGGACACCAGAGTGGGCATCGACGTTGGGGTAAGGGTTCTTGGTCTTGCCGTGCTCGGTGAGGACCTTGGGGGCGATCTTGTAGACCTGGCTGACGAGCTGGAACATGGGGTCCTCGGGGAGGTGCTCCTGGGCGAACTTGCGCTGGGCAGAGTAGCGGGGGTCGGTCTTGCGGAGGACGGCGTGGCCGTAACCGGGAACAACGCGACCGGCGTTAAGGGTGTCCCAGAGGTACTTGGTGATGGCCTCATCGGAGAGATCGTCACCGATGACCTTCTTCATCTCGGTGAGCCAGTTAAGGACCTCCTGGTTGGCAAGACCGTGGAGGGGACCGGCGAGACCGTTCAGACCGGCAGCGACGGAGAGGAAGGGAGAGCTGAGAGCAGAGCCGACAAGGTGAGTGGTGTGGGCAGAGACGTTGCCACCCTCGTGATCGGTGTGGATGGTGAGGTAGAGACGGAGGAGCTCAACGAAGTCCTTGTTGTCGCCGAAACCGAGCTGGTTGGCGAAGTTGAAGGAGTAGTCCTTGTCCTTCTGGACAGCAGCGACCTTGCCGCCCTTGAACACGTTCTGGTAGATGCGGGCAGCAATGGTGGGGAGCTTGGCAATGAGGTCCATGGAGTCCTCAAAGGTGTAGCCCCAGTACTCCTTCTTGTTGATACCCTTGGCGTAGGCACGGGCGAAGGAAGAGGTGTGCTCGAGAGCGGTGACAGCGAGGGAGAGCTGAGCCATGGGGTGGAGGTCAGAGGGGCAGCGGTCGATGAGCTCCTCAATGAACTTGGGGACATCGGAGCGGGCAGCCCACTCGGCAGAAAGGTCGCGGACCTGCTGCTCGGTGGGGACCTCACCGGTCAGGAGAAGCCAGAAGAGACCTGCGTAGCAAGTCAATACACAAGACCGCTTAAACACGATATCTCACGGTGCATGGTCCTGGCAAGGCGCGCAGGAGTGTGAACGTACCCTCGGGCAGGGGCTCCTTGCCGCCGGGAGCCTTGGGAAGCAGTTCCTGGCACTCGGGGATGGTCTTGCCGCGGAAACGGATACCCTCCTCGGCGTCGAGGACGGAACCCTCCCAGACAAGGCACTTGATGCCACGGGCACCGCCATAGACCTGGTCGAGAGTGACCTTGTCGACGACCTTGGAACCGTGCTCCCTGAGGTTGGCAGGACAGATCAGCAACACGATAGACGAGTCGAGAAGCTATCGACAGCTTATGCCGAGGCAGAGGTAGAGCTTACTTGCGGAGGGCCTTGATCTTCTCGATGTTCTCGGGGAGGAGCTCAGCGAAGCGCTCCTTGAGAGTCTATCACGGCCAAAGAAGCGCGGTCAGCGGATGATGTCAGTGTGTCCCCGGCTCATGAGACTGCCTTACCTGAGTCTTGGAAGAGTAGCATCTGGCGGCAGTGAAGGCAGTCTGGCGAGAAGTGAGGTTGATGGAGGACCTCAGGGCGGCGGAGCCCAGGCGCATAACGGGAGCCATGGTTTACTGAGTGGGAGGACGGGATGTGGTGTGGTTGAGGAGAAAGGAACAGTACGGAAAGGAGAGAAGAAAGGGAAAAAGTTCAGGTTGAAGCAATCAAGGCGGCACGGGCTTGAAAAAAAAGCGCAGCCGGGGAGCAGGCAATGCGTGGGAAAATATGCCTGACCTGCCGTCGCAACCAGCGAACCAGGGCAGGTCCAGAGGTCCGTTAGGTGGCTTTGGCGGGCTCTGCTCCCGTCGCTCCTGCCGGGGGATTGGCCTGCCCCGACTGGATGCGAATTGCCCGCAATTGCCAGTGCCAATTGGATCCAATAATGTTCACGGGCGGGAGCAAATGGGCGGGGCTCCCACTCTGCTCGGGCCAGTGGACCGGGGTGTTTGGGCCAGTTCTCTCACGAAGTCAGGTTGTATTGTACAATACACCGCGATGCTCTTGACACGACACGCTGCTTGATCCACAATGGCCGACTCGTAGACAGGCAGCTGCTCCTCTTCCCGCGCGTATCCGCGAGTATGAGACTGGAGAAGCCCACACCGTAATCACCGTAGAGGCCGGCGCCAGGTCTCTGTATTTCGATGAATACAATACCCAGCCCTGAATGTGGTCAATTTGGATCATGAAGCTGAACATGGAACTCTGCGGGCCAAAGGTTCAACGTTTCTATCCGGATGTACGTGGAGGTAGCTTGGCCGAGCTGCCGAGCTCGAGCGGGTCAGGGGGTCGCTGACGCCGTTCTAAGGATCGAACGCGGGGCGGCTCCCACACGTGTGTTTCGGTTCCCAAGTCTCCTCCCGTCCATGCGCGCGGTAAAAGGATGGCCGACGACGGAAGACCGGAAGAACACCTGGACACGACCACGCTGAACACTTGCGGCACCGACATCATGTGCACGTCTCTGCAATCGCATGTGTCTCGAGGGACAGCGGTTGTCAGACCAGACCTCAACATGGCCATGTCAAAACTGCTTGTTCACTCGCATGTCGAGGTCGACACCGACATGCATTGACGTCACGGAACCCTTTGGGCCTTTGGGACTACCTATGTACTTGGCCCTTGCGAGATCCCTAACTCATCCGGGGAAGCCGCCCCTTTTGACAGGTGTGGAAACGTTCCTGCTCCGGGTTTCCAGAAAACAACATTGGAATTGCCAATTGATGGACGGATTGATAACAGATGAACCCGCCTGCACAATCTGTTCCCTAGCACGTCCTCGACACTCAACGCTCATCATCAATGTTCGTGGAACCTTCGGGGTTGCATGGAGAGTCGGATGGAGCACGCAACCGACTCCAGTGTAGGGCTTCATCCAATCTCAAGTAGGATGTGGATCAACGGTTGGTGTTCCTAATTTACCGCAATCCGTCTGGGCTTTGTTGCCTTAGTGCCTCATACTCTTGGTATGTACGTGCGTCAGGCCACAACACGTTTGACACCTCTCTGCAAGGTTCTCGTTTTAAAAGAAGGTTTTCCGAGTCTTCAGTCACAACAGTTCGAGGCGGGTCTGATTCGAACCAATCGAGGCGTGATCGGGTGGCTTGAAAAAGTGCCTGCCAGTTCGTTCCTCGGGCCACGCATCACAGCCACGGTGCCACAGCAGCACAGGCAGCAGGGCAGGCAAACCGAAGCGACGGACGGATGCAATCGAACCCGACAGACGACTCGAGTAGAGTCAAGATCAGGGCAGCCACTACAGCCGAGTACCCACCCACCTGCACCAACCACCGACCACTGGCACTCCCCGTCCAGTCCACTTCTTCTACTTCTGCAACGACAACTTTTCTTTCTCCCCGCTTTCCAACCCCAACTCCCTCCTCACTTCTCGCATCACCACCACATCACGCTTTTGTCGTCATCAGCGAAAATAATCTTAAACGCCAACGGAGACCGCCTTTGTCAATCCAGCAATCCAGTAATCGACTAGTCGCCCAGGATTTGTCTCGACTCAGCACAAGCTCACCTGGATTTTCTCACTTTCTACTTAGTAGCCTCACAGTAAAAGGGTGCGCCCAGATCACATCCGCGCAGGTCAAGTCCTGATCTCGGCTGCCCTTCGTACAGCTGCTTTCGTTGCGGTTCTTGCACGTCGTCACAGCTATCCCCAGCTGGTGGTTTCCACTTCGCGCGTCACGTCAGAAAAATAAAAAGGACCATCGTATTCTTGCTCGCACACGCGCCGGCCAGCAACATATATCTCTGGCCTCTCGGCTTCTCTTTTTTTGCTAGGACTTTGCACTGGCCTACGGCTTCTGCGCTCGTCTTAAGACGCACAGAAAGGACAGTCTCTTCGTACAAGCTGCTCTCTTCTGAGTACCCGGTGGCGCGGGCAAATTGCAGCTTCGTAACCTCGGTGATATACGTCGAGAAGCAAGGAAAGCAGACCTTGGATGCCGACCTGTTTGAGCCTTAATCAACGTACTCCGTCTTTCCACCCGTGACAAAGGAGCATGGTATTGGCATAAAACCTTTAATCAGCCTTCACCGTATCACAACCGTACTACATCGCAGCTTGTATCTCCAAGCCCAACGGCCAAGTTGATTGCCGACTTCAGCTGGTCTTGCTCGATTTTTTAAACAAAAATCATCAATCATGTCGTCGTCACAGGCGGCCGTAGCTGAACTAGAGAAGGGCCTCGGGGACATGCAAAACCTGAAACCGCCCGGTGTCTCTGGCTCGAAGATCAATAGCCTCACCATGCTGTGTTTGAACAACGTCCAGGTAAGAAGCGCGCCATGTCTGGGCTCGACAGTATGCACGATGGAGGCACCAGAGCTAACCACACATCCTTTGACAGTACGAATCACAGCTGGTTCAGAAGTTATATACCCACTACAAGAAGACACCAAACACTCACAAGCTGGGCGTCCTATACGTCGTAGATTCCGTAACCCGCAAATGGTTGGAGAAGGCAAAGGCCCTTGAACAGCCCGTCACCCTTGGTGCACAGGATGGCACCTATGCTGCCGGTGTCCATAGAGTGACTGAACTAATGCCCATGTTCATGAACGCCATCATCTCTTCGGCCCCCGAGGATCAAAAGGTACGCACACAACCGCACACTCATGTGCCGTCTTACACTTATACCTCCATTTCTGCCAACGGACTAGACCCCGAGCACACTTGGGAGCGGCTGTAAGATCAGGCCACACCAGTCGTCTTCACTTTTCTAGACCATATCGTGCATCCATTCTTGGTTGTATTTAGTGTCCAGTATCATGTTGTTCATAAACTCACACCCGTATCGTCTTGTAGGAGAAGATCAAGAAGCTGGTCGACATATGGGAAAAGGGCCAGACGTTTCCTCCCGATATGGTCAACACCTTCAAAGAGAAGCTGAATGCTCATCAACAGCCCAGTAGGTTTTGCCCGGTTCCTTCCAAGCATATGCCCTTACGCCTGTGCGGTGCTCGTTGTTTGCCTGATCTAACTGTATCGTGTGCCGATAGATGTCTCGACAACACCACCAGGCAGTCCCCCTCCCAACCCGCTGGCTTCCTTGCAGGCCGCTAGCAGACCTCTCCCTATGCCTACAACTACCGCCGTAATGCCGTCCAACATCCTGGAGACCTTAGCAAATCTTGCCCGCTTGAATGCGAATGCGGCTCAGAGTAATTCCAGCGCGGCCGCCCCTGCTCCCGCCCCGGCCGTAACTGCGGCTGTGGCCCCGTCTCCGGTACAAGTGGGGGTCCCGCAGATTCCTCCTGTTACTCCTTCCACGCCGCATCCCATGTTTCCTACTTCTGGCCAGCCTAGCAATGGAGCATTGCCAGCCGGATTTCTTCCCGGTGTGGGGCACCCGGGTATGCCGTACTTATCAGCATCGCAGCCGGCGGGGCAGTCGGTGAACATGCCACCGACGATGCCATTTGGCTTCCCAGCTCCGGCCGCACAGCCAGCTCAGCCTGCGCAAGTGCCAGGAGCAGCCCCTAGTGCGAATGCCGCCACGACGGTTCAGCTGTTCGCCGCCCTCGCCGCCCAGGGCATCCCTCTTGACAAGATTGCCAGTGTAATGCAGCTGATGGGTCAACCAAGTGGCACCGCCCCGGCAGCACCTCCCCAGTCCGTTGCTCAGCCTCTATATGCCGGCTATCCTCCTCCTCCCCCTGCTGGCGGTGTATCTGCTGCCCCTGCATGGGAGTCCGTGAGACATGATGAATCACGTGATCGTAATGGCTATCATGATGGGATGAGGTCTCCAAATAGGCCTCGGGGTCGCTCTCGCTCACGCTCGCCGCGGCGCTGGGATGTCAGGGGGTCGCCTCGAGCCCGCGGTAACGATCGCTTTGATTATGGGAGGAGCACCCCGCCCCGTGGCCGTCCGGATGATCGTGGTAGAGACCGGGATATGCGTATTCCCGACTACCGACAACGGTCGCCCCCCAGCCGTAGACATGAAAGCCCCGGTCAGGAGCCGCCCTCCGAGAAATGGGTCAAACACGATCCTACTCTTCCCAATGGTCACATCAAGGTGTATAGCCGCACGCTGTTTGTCGGCGGTGTGACGTAAGTTTGCCAAGCTGATCTCCAGCCTATATGTGCATTGACTGACAGACATGTAGATGTTCCGAAGCTGAACTCCGCTCCATCTTTGGTCGCTATGGCGAAGTACAAACGTGCATTGTCAACAAAGAGAAAAGACATGCCTTTGTCAAGATGTACTACCGTCAAGATGCTGAGAATGCAAAGAAAGCCATGGAAGAGAACAGAGGCTCCGACGTCCAGCTGCGGGTAAGTTTGCGACTCATATCTTCGTTATTGGTCGCCAACTAACGATTTTGTAGACTCGTTGGGGTGTTGGCTTTGGCCCCCGTGACTGCAGTGACTACCAGACTGGGATTAGTGTCATTCCTATTCATAAGCTCACCGAAGCCGACCGGAAATGGATGTTGACGGCGCCCTATGGCGGAAGTGGTGGCCAACCTATTACCACCGGTCTTGTTGTCGAGGAGCCAGACATTGAGATTGGCGCAGGTGTTTCGTCAAAAGCCATCAGTCGACGTATGCAGACAGACAAAGGGGGTAACCATGGTCCCAAGTCAAGCCGCCGAGATGAGGAGCCCCAGCATCCTAATGGGAACGCAGGTGGACCGCCCCCTGCCGGTAACCGCTGGCGGCAGGGTCGCGAGAAGCATCGAAACAACAGTGGCGATGACAGACGCGGCGATCGGAATGACAAGAATGCAGCCAACGATGACCCGATTGTGATGGGCTTGCCTGGAAACATCACTGTTGGACCGAACGGCATCAATTTTCCTCCTAATTATGCCTTCACATCCAACAGCACGCCCAACAACTAAAGGGTTCGGTTCCTGCTGGCTCGCGGAGATAAAGGCCCAGGGAAAAGCTGAGGAAGACGAATCTGAAGAGAAAGCACACAGGCGAGGGATCAGTTCAGGGAGGAGATACCCCTTGAGATGGATAAAGAACCATGGAGGAAAAAAAAAGTTACTGCTATGGGGCCGGAGGCTATCGTTATTTGCGGCGTATTGGTATTCATTTTTCTGGGTCACTACGTTAGTGGAGGGGCAGCGGTAGGGTATTGCTCTAGGTCCGGTGTATCCTATCTGGTTCTTCTTCAAAGCAGAGGGTTTCTTGATGGTTATGATCCTTCCGCGACTGATACTTTATTTCTTCTCTTTCGTTAGATGCCTCTTGACGGTTTTACCATTCTGAAAACCGGTATGATGATTGGTCACCTTAGAGCGAGAAAAACGTACACTTCTTGTATTCTACTGTAGTCCTTGCTGAGAAGCGTCTCATCCAACCTAGTCCTGCATAAAACAACGATCTATTTGCAGATTCACTATGGTCAATGTCCGAGCTAGAATAAGTACTGAAGATGGTGTCTGCTCTCATTCGGACGGCATATGACAGAAATCCAGACCAAGGTCAAGTCTCTTCGAGAACGTGTTTAACAATGGCGGTATTGTGCTTCTCCAGCTTACGTATCGCGCTGTGTTTGTACAACTCTGGCAAGTCAATGCACTAGCAAGGCGTTTGCGTTTGACCTCAAACTGATGGCAAAAGCATAGTAACGATAGAGCACTAGCTCGATAACGCTTCGAAGATTCGCTTTTGTATTCGGATGATCTTTCGGGTACCCAAGCTTTGTGCTGACCATATGCTCAACAGTACTCGATCAACCACCACCCTTGATCCCTTTACGCCTCCTTTTCCCCTTGATAGCCGTGTTTGGCCTTACCTTCCCACTTACTGACTGGCTCGCGCCTCGCAGCACTCTCAATATTCCAACTTTATCCTTCCCTTGACCCCTGAATAAGCATCATCCTGTTTCATCAAAGTTAGCAATGCAATCAACTACATCCTTGCCACGAACTAGAGACTTACCTCAGCCTTCCTCTTCCTCCCCCCAAATCCATTCTCCCCGCCCATGCTCATTAATCCATTGTCACCACCATCTCCAGGCCCAACACCGCCACCAACACTGCCATTTACCTCCTTATGGCAACTGGCATGATATACCCTCTCGCCTACTTTCGTGGCGTCCATCCACACCCACTCCTGCGCCTCATCAAGCCACTTCATCTCGAATCTTTCCTGGCAGATGGGGCACATGTTATTGACTTTGGCGGAATCCTCGGGAACGGGGATGTAGTCGAGACCGCCCCTTTTGCCTCCCTTTCTACCACCGCCGTGACCGGGCATGGCTTTCCCGCCACCATGACCTCCCGAATGATCAGCACCCATGATGCCACCACCTGGGTACAGAGAGTTGGGGTTATAAGAATTATTGAAGCTCGCCTCGGGGTCATAATCATCCTCATCCTCATCCACATTATCATCATAGTTGAGTGTATCCTGACCCGGCACACCTCCACCACGACCACCATGACCACCGGCACCACCACCAGCAGTAGTATCAGAACGGTGACCGTGATCAGAATCAATCGCTTCCAATGAGTTCACCCAATCTGACTGCTCCACCCACCAGGACCGGTGCTGTCCGCGTCGCTCCGCGTCCGTCACCCGCTGGTGCACGCGGAAGTGCCAGTCCATGTGCGCTGTCTTCTTGCGCCGGCCTTCCTCGTCGGTGCCGAACCGCCGGCCGCACTGTGTGCAGGGGGGGCCGAGGTCTTCGTGGAGTCGGTTGATGAGTTGTGGGCCGCGGTACTGTTTGAGGGTATAGGTCCAGGCGGCGGCCGGGGCGGCGGCGGGTGCTGTTGCTACGGGAGCGGGAGCAGCAGGAGTGGTGCCGGACAGAAGACCGGATTGTCGAAGCATGGCAAGTAACGCTGATGGGTTGGACACTGGTGCTGGCGGTGCGGCCGCGGGAACGGTGGGAGGAGCGGAAGCTGCGGGCTTAGGAGCCTCGAGAGGTGGTGGTGCTGCCAGGCCCACTGTTGGTGTTTGTGATCGAAGAACAGCCGCGATGACGGGTGGCAAGGCTGCCAGACTACCAGCGGCAGCAGCGGGAACCGGAGTAGGAGCTCCAGCTACCGGTGGTACAGCCGGTGGTGGTATCGGTGTCGCGATGGGAGGCTGTGGCGTGCCTGTCTGTGATGGTGTAGGGGTAGCAGACTTTCGGGTAGCACCAGCCAGCAAGGCGGCGAGAGCGCCTTGCCCGAACAAAGAGTCTATCGAGAGGGCACCTCCGGCACCAGCACTCGGACCCGCCACGGCCGAGGCAGAAGGAGGACGCCCCCCTGGTACTTGAGGAGGAGGAGGAGGAGGAACAGCACCGGGAATGACCGGAGGTGTTGGGGTAGCGGTGTATGGGACGGGATATTGAAGAGGCGCGGCGGCGACAGGAGCGCTGCCAGTAGCAGCAGCAGCAGCAGCAGCAGAGGCGGCAGTAGCAGCGCTGCGCATGTTTACGGACAGTTCAGTGATCTTTTCTTTCACGAGCATTAACTGCTCCTGCGGCACGTCTGGCCTCTGAATCAAGGTCTGCAGATCCAGCAAGGCCTTCAGTCTAGTTTGTTTACCTACGTCCAGCGGATCTCGCGCAAACTCGGCCCTCTCTGCAACGATGAGCTGCTGGATATCGTCTCTTAACCTCTCTATGCTTATACCCTGGTAAGGAACTTGGGGCTGGTGATAGGGGGCTCCATACGGAGGCTGGGTGGTGGCGCGAGGAGGAAGCACATCGGGACCCTGGGAGTGTTGTTAGTATCAATGCACGAAAGAGATCGAACAAGAAAGACAGGGGTAACATACGTTATGAGGGCGCATAGGAAAGGCCGCGTTTCCTCCGTGCGGCGGCATATGTCCGTTAGGAGGCGGATATTGCTGTCCTGGTTGTTGTGTCGCTGGTCGAACGTTTGGAGGAGTTGGCGTATCTCTGTGAGGAGGGGCTGGGGGACGGGCTCCGCGGAGCATATACTGCTGCCCTTGGTAACTGCTCTGGTTGACTTGAAGGGCAACATTCTTGGCCGCGATCAGGGCGTTCTCGATCGGTTTGACCACCTCGGGAGGGAACACGGGCTTCGTGGATATCGAGCCCGGTACTGGCTCCTTCCAGGTCTTCAGCATCTCGTCCATCTTCCGCCTGGTTGGGTTGTCGACTTTGGTGTAGGCGCCCATGAAGATGGAGTAGAGCTTGGGCCCAAAGTAGAGGGCGTATGGTGTCGGGACATTCTTGACCACCGAGTCGAGCACGTAGAGGGCCGGTAGGGTTCGAGGAGGTGGGACCTAGGTAAAGTATCAGACACATGCATCTTTTGAGGAAGTGGCGTTGCTCATAGGTCTCGGTTGTCTATGCCTTGGGCCAGAACCGTCGCGGTGGAGAGGCGGCGTACCTTTTTGATGTGGTTTGTCAAGACCTCAGCAATGGCCAAACCATGGTGGGCGTTCTCTCGCGCAATATTCGTCAAAGTCGCAATCTCTATCCTTGAGTTTACGGTCAAGTCCTCCAGGGCCTGCCGATAGTCCTCGGCAACATCAGCGGCGTCGTCGGCCATTGTTGAAAGCGTCAACGGATACCAGGTACCGCCGCAGACGTGGAACAAGGAGACAGACGCAGGGTCGCGCCAACTAATGATAGACCTTTTTTGGATTCTTGGTTTGTGTTTTTCGCAGCAAAGTGCTTGCGCGAAAGGGAATACACCACCACACAGAGATATGCTCAAACTGGCCCAAGTCTTTTTTCTCCTGGCCTTCAGGGAAGTTTGAAGGCGGTAGAGGCAGATAGTTTATCTTCTACCAGAAGTCACGACTTGATCAATGTGTGCGTTGTCTTGTTTTGTGTTGTCCTTGCTTTTTTCCCCCCCCAAAGCGCAATCCTCCACGGCCTGCCTCTATTGATGTGTCACCCCGACCACGATCGACGCACCATTCGAAGCGTGCTGTTTGTAGTCAATGCTCGTCGGTATACAATTCTCTAGATGGCTGTCAAGAGGCGGCAAGTTGCAAAAGTGGCGCGAAGAGAACAGCAGAACAACGAAACGGAGGAGCAAAGACCGTCAGATGGATGAGCCGAGATAGCGTGGTGATTCGGTGGTGATGGGCGGGTGAAGGTTGCTGAACTGGTGATTCTTCTGACGGGTCAATTCGAAGAGGTCTTTGTCCTCTTAGCTGTGGATTGTCGAGGGGTCAGCGGGAGACCAGAAACTTGTCGCGGTTTATGTACGATTTTCTTAGATTTACAGTTTCGAGTTGCAAAGTGGAAGGAGGGCGAGAAGATTGGTGACGAGAAGAAGTCGCTCCTCCCGTCCTCGCAATCCAGGTTGCTTTGTCTGCAAAGGGTGGACACTGGAGCCACTGCAGGCCAAGAAGGGCGTGAATGTGCTTTTGCAATACCTAGGTACCTAGTGTAGAGCAGTAGAGGTACCTACAATAGCCTGCCGCGATACGGATGCACAAAAGGTACGTACTGTGTATCTTATCGGTATGCACAGGCCACTACATTGCTTGGGCTTATCAGACCGACCCGACGTTGGGTTCCCCTTTCACCTTCACTATCGCAAGCTGGATTCATCCATGTTCCCCATCACGCCTCCATGGGCTAAATGCAGGTCCTCAACTGAACTGAGTGCAGACTGACTTGGGTTGTTCTTCCAATTTTGGATCTCATAACGTATTTCTTTTCCTTTTCGTGATGCGATGACGCATACTTATCTTCATACATTTCACCACTGTTTCCCACATTATCAGCTTTCTCCCTTTTCGTGAGTCGTATCCCCTTTCGGAAGTGAACCATTAACTGTGTATTCTCAATTCTTCGTCATGATGGCACCTGGGCCAAGAATACAAAAACGCCTTGACCATATGCAGAATCTCTCATACTGGGTATTTTCAAAGGAATAAAAATGAAAAGAACAGGGGAAAGAAAAAGAGAAGAAAAAAATGCCAGCTATCTACAGAAGTCCGTCGCTCATATCCCAGCCCATCTCAAATTGTACGACCCATCATCACTCAGCCCACCAACCCTTAGAACCGGGACATGTTCGCATCACTGTACAGACTCGGGCTCCTCCTACCGCCATTGTAGTAAGGGTGTAGCACAGTTGGCGGTCTCTGGACGTTTGGCGAGACGGGGCTGGAACGGTCATTCTGGGGCGGAGGGCTGTTGTTTCTTCCTGCGCCGGTGTTGATAGGGAAGCGTCCGCCACTGTTTCTGCGGTTGCTGCGGAAGCTGTCGCCGCGTTCGAGGTCGACAGTATGATCACCAGATCGCTTGCTGTCCGCGTTCATCTGAGGAGTGGGCGCCACCACCCCAACGCTGGGGATGGGGTCGCTAATGACGGGGAACCTGCCGGATTTGCGAAAGTTTTTGGGAAAGGCCGCCCTGGTCCATCTGTGCGCCCGCGCCTTGAAGGTGTTGTCCAGCTCCGGCTGCTCTTGCTCCTGCACCACCGGGGGGTAGTAGTGGTCGTTCACCGCCGGTGGCAGATCCTCGGGGTAGCCACTCTGGCTACTGTAGTAGTCAGGGAATGGGTCCTGCTTCTCGATGATGCCCTTAGCTTGGTCACCGTGGCTGCGGATCATTCTGGCCGTGATTCGTCTTCTGATCTTGCCCTCGCCTTCAGAAGTGTTGAAGATGAGCGACGCGACGACGTTGAAGACGCCGAAAGTGAGGGAGAGGATGCCCGAGGCGAGTACGAGGCGCCACATGGCGAGTCCGAGGTTGTCCATGGAGTAGGCCGGTTTGACCAGATCGCCCATGATGGCGCAGCCCATGACGACCATGGCTAGACCGAGCCATACCAGTGAATGAGTCGGACATAGGACAGGCCAGCTCCTGGCAAAGAATCCTCTGAACGACCTAATGTTCAACTCGGAGATGAAGAGAAAGATGGCGACGGCGAAGACGAAGAAGTGGGAAGCCGAGTCGAAAAAGTCGAAGCGTCCACCAAGACATGAGAGTACAATCATGATCCAAGAGGACGCCATGGCCATGGCGAGGCCGATGAGGGTGAGAGCCCGAAGTCCATTGAGGACTAGGTAGCCGGTACCTTTGATCGTAGGAAGCATCTCGAGCTCCTCGTATTCGAATGCTGATTCTGGGTTTGGGTCAGTCCTGTCTGGTACAGGAAACTGGTTGTCGCCGTTGTGCTGCTCGTGTTCATGCATATTGACTCACAATGAATGTCTTGATGAGACCGCTATCGTAGCCTCTGACCTGCAGATTGCTATTTTGTGTGGGTTTTTTTCCTGAAGATGTATCTGGCAAGCAGATGTTTTGGCGGTGGTCTTTTTTTCCTCTGTCGAAGACTAGGAGAGAAGAGTCCGGGGGAACAGGAAGGTAAGGAAAGGCGTAAGAAGTAAGTAGAGACCGTAGAGGTCTGGGTTCTATCGAGGACTTATGTAGCAATAAGGAATGAATGGCTAAGGATGGCCCATGGCCATTGTCTCCCAAGGACAATAGGGCTGCGGGAGGCTGAATAAAGAGAGCGAATTGTTCATACGGATGAAATGGGGAGGAGATGGGCCACACGCAATGGACACAATGAGGAGTCTACTGATATATCGGACGGCAGAGAAGGGACGCACATGCTCTTACAAAGGCAATGTTCCGTCGAACAATATGATTGAATGATTGACGGTCCGGCACATGAATAGAACAGAGACGGCAAGGATCTGGGCCGTGAGTGTTTCTAGTGTTTCGCATGGGTCGCTTTTATCGAGGAAACTCTCATGGCCAATGAAGCAGTAGGCGCTCAAGGAGTTAAGTCGTCCCACTTGGGTTTTGTTTTTTTTTTTTTGGTTTTTTTTTGGACCGAGCCAAATGTGAGGACCCGCGGGATGAGGGTTAGCAGACCAGTCAGATCTGCTCATCTCCAAGGTTTTCTTTCCTCTTACCCTCGTCCAGTTTCCCCAGATATCTGGCGAGCTAGGAATGGTTCCACGGCCTGACGTTTGAGCCAGTCAATGGACGCAAGGCGGCTAAAAAAGACGTGCAGATCAAATCCCATCCAATGCCCCTGCAGCCGCCTCTTTCAAGTGAGCATGCTTGCAAGGAATTGGCCAAGGATACGTATCTTCCCAATACATAGTTGCCGGGGTCGATCTGGACAATGAATTCATCTTCAAGTTGGGGTGAACTCGGCCGGTCGATTGGTTGACGGTTTTCGAGGCCCGTTTCAGATTTGCATGTAGCCTGGGACGTGGAAGTGCCCAAGCAGATGCTCCAGAATAGCAGCAGAGGTTTGGAAAACAGACGCGAAAAGTTGTAAATCGACCTGGACTTCTTCTCGCAGGTTCCTAGTCATATGACAACATTTGGAATTTGCAAAGCAACTGAACAGAGCGACTGTCCATGGATCGGCAGCGATGCATCTACTGTACTATGTACATGTACTGTACACTATTTTACGTGTGTTCGGATACTGCCGAGGCGGCGCTAACAATGAATGCTTCATGTGGGTCCTTTCACTGAGCGTTCCTGATCGTCCAAGATAGCGCTGACAAGATCTGATATCAAAAGATACCTAGATGTTGAAAGCACGAATTAACAAGAGGCTCAAATGACCCGAATATATCAGGCACGAGTTTCCAGGTTTCCGCATGACATTGATTGAGGTGGGTGTCGAGAAGGCTTCGTGAGTTGTGACTGCTCCCAATTCTACACTCACTATCTACTACCTACCTACCTTGCTTGCCCCAATGCCCCTGGTGGCCCGTGCCTAACGACTACAACCACCCTGCGGGCATCAGACCTAGGTTCTCAGTAACTCGAACCCTGAGGGCATGTTTTTCTTCTTCTTTTGTGATGGAACTGACTGAGCAAACGGCTCCTTTTGTTACTAGATTTGATATTGATATCCAAACAAATGCCGAGAAAAACAATCCGATGGAGTACAAGCCGAGAACAAGACTTCTCGCGGGGCTTACAGATTTCAGTACCCCGTGCTTACACTACACCGCGATCATGACCCACCGCGCCCGATCCCTAGCGCAGAGGGAGGTGCCAGAGCGCGGCAGTGTCCTTTGCAAAGCTGAAAATTCGATTGGCCACCAGGTCGCGCCCTGACCACCAGGCCTTGTCCGACCCCAGCAGTCGAAGCGCCCAGAACCAAACTCTCTTTGAGTGGGTCCAGTACGGTGGCTCCCTCACCACTCAGCCTCGCACCTCGATCAATGCTTTCAAGTCTTCTCGGATCCCCTGACCACTCACTCAGCCAGTTTTCCAATTCCTCCTCATCGCGCGATCTTCCAGGGAGCACAACAACCGCCTGACCGGGTCTACGGACTTCTGAAACGCTCCCTAACTTCTATTCTTCGACCTTGCCCTGCCTTTACCCGCACGCGCTACTTACCGCGTCTAATATCTTCGCTTCGTCATCCATTCACCGCCAACCGCCAAACACCATGTCCCGCGGTAACCAGCGCGAGAAGGCCCGTGAGGCTAACCTCAAGAAGCAAGCTGCTCAGGTATGACTTCCCAATGCCGAAAGATGACACTAATCAGGGGCTTTGCTAATGTCCGCCCTTCTCCCTGCAACAGAAGAAGGTCAACAACAAGAGCGGCACTGAGATGCAGCGCGATAAGGAAGCTGTCGCCGCCCTCATGAGGGCCAAGCAGGCGGCCGGTAAGTTCTATCCACTTGGTCTCCAGGCTATCTCTGCCCATTATGACACAAATTTGTCATCTCTTCGATCAACGTCATCGCACTCTAGCCCCTTCTCTACTCCCTTGCTGACTCTCTTTCTCCCACTTAGCCGATGCGAAGAGGGCTGCTGAGGCTGCCAAGAAGAAATAAACGGCCATCTCAAACAGTCCAACTACCCACGTGGTTGGAGGAGATATGAATCTGATCAACGGGAACTCGTCTTTCTCGCTGCGCGATTATCTTTATTTACCTCATCCCCATAGTCGACAGCGACTATAAGCAGTTGCGGGGATGCCCCCGTGTCTATCAGACCGGGATCGGTCTTTCCATCCATCTTTATACCGTTCGGAGTGTTTTACGGCGTCACAGACCAGGGAGGAAGACTTGGGGAGTATCTTGATTTATTGGAGCAAAGCTTGGGCATTCATGGCGTGAGCGTGGGAATACCATCTTGAATTAACACAATTTCTTGGAAGCATCATCAAATCCGGAAGGCTTTTTTTCCCGTGTGGGGCCGACGCATGCTCGGTCGGCTACGGTTGTCCTTATCACTGTTTTGCATGTGCGCAAACTGGCTTGTCAAACTTCTGTCTTTTGGCTGATCTCAGTATTGCAGCTCCTTTGTTGATTCTTACGGCATTTGATAACCAAGGTAAGGACAGCGGCGGGATAACATTTCGCAGTGAAGAAGATTATTAATGTGTGTAACGCTTCAAGCGACAGCCATTCCTGACCAAGTTATAGGTATCCAACCGTAATCCTGTCCCTTGCCCCTTCATGCGATCAACTCGCAAACAATGTCCCAGCCAGAAAGGCGTGCTTCAAGTCATTGACATGACTAGCACGGTCAAGAAAAGCTAAAGTATACAAGTAGCATCTTTGATACTACAGAAAAAGAACATGGCATTCCCTTCTCTATCGCTGACTTTCTTTCAAACGCTCCAAGCATCAGATGCTCACATCCAAGGTGTGTGTGCTTAGGCAGCAGGAGGAGCACCCAGAGCCATGGCTCTAGGAATCGAACCTTGGATGATGTCAGCTTTTGGTCACGAAATCGAGATGCAGGCGAACTACTCACCACCTACGCCACCAAAGGCGTTCACACCCTGGGCCGCAACATTGGGGAAAGAACCGGCAGCGCAAGAAACGGCGCATACGCACGAGCCGTCCGCGGCAACCTGGCCAACACCAGTCACAATGTTTCCAGTTGCTTGGGCCGCACCACCAGCCACGGCTGTTGCAGTGGTATCACCGCCAACGGTTGCGGAAGGAGCTGCGGGAGGAGCAGCGGAAGCATTACCGCCGGTGATGCCACTGTCCGTGCCAGTGCCGTTCTGCGCAATGGCCTGGGCTTGGAATTGAGCATGGGTCTTTTGGGCAGTAGGGTTAATGGAAAAGACCATGCCCTTGCCGCAGTGGTTTGCTTGGCGGCAGTAGAACCCTGTGAGGGGGTTAGCAAGACCATTAAATCGAGGAGTGGAAAAAGAGGAGAAAGAAAATAGAGAAAAAAAAGAAAAAAAAAGACATGGGGAAACCTTACAAAGAGGCGTATCAACCATGACCTGCATAGCGACCTGCGGCGGAGGGTTCACGGTGTTGTTGACATTGGCCTGGAAACCCGAGTCCATGCCTCCAGGGAGCGCCACGCAGGGTTTATCAAAGGCCGACTGCGTCACGGTGTGGTTCTGGCTGAGGAAGGTGAAGATGACGGTATCGCCCACGGCCGCCTTCGTCTGCGCCGGGCTAAAGGCCAGACCTTGCGGTCCGCCGACGGTGACGGTGTGCGTGGCGGCTCCTCCTGCTGGGGCAGCGACGCCGGCGGGCTGGGTGGGAGTCGCCGGAGCGGCGGAGGGCACGTCAGACGCAGGAGCGGTGCTGGCTATCGCCGTCGCGTCGGCGCCACCGGCGGCACCGTTGACTACCGTCGCGGCTTGGGTGGCGGTCACGGTGACGGTCTTTTCCGAGTTGATAATGGTGGTAACGGATCCGCCACCTAGGTTGACCCAGAGGAGGTTGAGCTGAGCGTTGAGGCCTGCGGTGAGACCGATGAGCTTGGCAAGTTCGGCAATTTCTTGCTCTGTTGCTTTCTTGGAGTCTTTCCCGTTGTTCTTGTCCTTGTTATCCTTGTTGTCGTTGCTGCCATTGGCGTTGGCGTTGTTGTTTTGGTTGTCATTGCCCTTGTCACGAACCTCGAGAGCAATGTCTCCTCGGCGGACGCTGGGGTAAACGTTGTGAGCAACCTTTCCGAGAGCGAACGGGGCCATGCTCAGAGCGGCCAAAACTGCTGTCGTAACCTTCATCTTGGGTATCTGTGCTTGTTCCTTCTTCTGGTTCCCTTCTCAGCAACTTCTTGTTCCCTCTTGGTTTGCGATTGAGAACGGGTATTATCGTATATTCGTGAAAATTCGTCTCTGTGCCCTATCGACCGGGAAAGGGATGCGCCGGAGTGCGAATATGATCGGCAGGATATATATGTCTAGATGTGATGTCGTACGTATAAACAATTGACGAGTTCCTGCTCTGTGTTGATATATCAAGAAGCGAAGGTTGCGACAGGAGGTCCGAGACGGAAAAAGACTGGGGAAAAAAAAAATGAGAGAAATGAGCACACACACAGAGAAAGAAGACAACGGATGAAGAAGAGGAAGAAGACGAACAAGGTGAGAAGGGAAAATGAGGAGATAAGGCCCTTCTTGAAGTTTTACGTTTAGCAGTTTCGGATCTCACGATTCCGGGGATACAGTGTGACTGATCGTAGCAAGGGAAGCCATTGCTTCCCATCTCAACCTCGGGCACATTCTAACATTCGGCATCCGGGCGTTATAGCTCGTAGATAATAGCAATGACAGGGTCCCTAGGGATGGACTACTAGCGGCCAGGAAAAGGAGGTTGTCACGAAACATTTTCCGGGGATCATTCCACGTGACGGAGGCGTTGGCACAATAATATCTTCCCTTGACTGCTCTGCTACTATAGCAGCATTCGGCATTTTGGGCGAGAAGTTTCCGTACTTGGCTGATATGGGAATGGCTACATAGGACTAGGCAGTTGGGAAGCCTGGGATAACGCATCGGTTGAATCTGTTTCCACTAATCCCTGGCGCTATTGTCTGAATGTCGCATTTTAGGTGCTGTGGAAGGTTGTATGGTAGTATCAAATGTATAGCTCAGCCTCGATTCATTCCGGTCCATGTTTACGGGAGGGAGGACGGATATGGGAAAGATGTAGGAGCCAGGAGGTGTGCTGTAACAGATTCGTCTCAGAGCGTGTTTTGGCTTTTGGGGTGCTGCTCTAGGCGAGCGCTTTGACGCAGGCTGGTAGGGGGGTACTTTATCAGTTTCGAATGACCACACATCTTGACGACAATTTGTGAAGAGGTAGGATGTACATAAGGACCGAGAAACTCCCAGGAATGTCACTCTTCCATCCCGCAAGAAGAATGACAACATCAGACCCAAGGGAAAAGATTTTGGGGAGTGAGTCCGAAAAGCCAAGTCTCGCCTTATCTAGTAGGAAGTGATCCGCAAAGGTTGAGGTGGTATCTGTAACGAGCAACCGATTGCCCCGTGGAACCCTATGCGCTTGTCACCCCCGTTTTAAACCCAAAAATGACTACTGTAGAGAGACCCCTGTCAGTTCTATATAGTAACTGGTTGTCCCGATGGTATTCATTTGCTTGCCCTTGGAGCTTATTATTGGATTCTGACCTTCTTGATTAGTACCTTGGTGATCCTGTCTTGACAATACCAAGTCAAACAGATTCATGTTTAATATACATCACCTCCACAAACCATCAATGACCGAGCTGGGAGCAACATGCCGTCCAGGTATGGCATCCATTTTGCGGTAGAGGCATGATCAAGATCAAAGGCCCACTTGACGCCGTAAAGCAGCTTGCGGATGTTTCTTGGGCCGGTCGGGGGTTAACTTGGCTAGACGGGCTGACAGGGTAGTGGGTGTGCGACCCCGGCTCATATCACACTCGGTGATGTTCCATGCGTCTTGTGGTGAAAAAAAAGTGGACTTGGGAAATCTATGATGTGAGCGTTATATCAGTTGCGTTGCAAGGGGAATAGAACATCGGTTGCTTATGACATGTAGATACGATGTCTTGTTCTCTGTATCGATCCTCGATCTTCTTCTAACACTCCCTGATCTGATCAAGCAGCAAACAAAAAAAACAAACGAGAACGCGCGAGACGAGTGTTTCTCTTTGCCTTCGACATTATAGCACGAAAGAGAGCCATCGGTATCGTTAAAGCCTGGCAAGCCCGGCTTGGGCATGGAGCTGTTCACGATGGAACACAGGCCGTCGGAAGTGCTCGACTTCGGTAGTTGACCATGCAGCCCATAATCGGTGTTCCGTTCCCTCTCCCTCAAGGGGGCGACCGATTGTGGTCCAGACTCTTGTGGCCCCGGCACGACGGAAGGGCAGAAAGCCATGGAGAGACTCACAACGGGATCCGACAGCAGAAAATTGTCTAAGACTGTGGGTATCATTTTTGTTTTTCCCCTCCTGGAAGATTATATCCCTTGTTGCGTTTGCGTAATTCCCAGACCATACCACGTGGTTGTGGATGTCAAACTCGCGACCCCAATAAAACCGTACAACGGTGCTTAGTAGAGACAAAACGCACCGAAAGCACTCTCGGTCAGAGACGACTACCTTACTGCTGTGCCTGCTCGTGCAGAGCTTTTTGTTTCCCTTCGTAGAGACCGGTGTAGTAGCCTTGAATGAAACACATCATGTCAGCAATTCGGGTTTATCTTCAAAGGGAAAAGGAGTGAAACAAAAAAAAAAAATTAAAAAAAAAAAAAAAAAAATTTGCTATGTCCAAATCTAGACACAACGTACCTGCGTAGTACCATGACATCAAGAGCTTCTTGAGCTCTTCATCCTGCACCGAACCCAACATCAGTTGGGGTCCGGGACCAGGCAAGCTCGCTGCGGTAGGTTCAGCAGCAGCAGATTGTTGGGTTTCCAGTCCGTTTTGAATTGTGTTGACGGGTGTAGTCTGTTTCTTGGTTAGACTTTGATCTTTAATAACCTGAAAGATGACGAAATGCGAATTGAAGAGAGGGGAGAAATAAATTTGAAAAATTCATTTCAGCTTCACTCACCTTCACTTCAACAGCGGGTGCCGCGCCGTCCTCCCCCTCCAGATGGAGATTTGCAGCACCGCTAGGCTTGGCACTCTGATCTCTGCAAAAAAAATCATGTTTTGTTTAATTTCGATTTCAGCACTGGTTTGGAGCTTAGGTTGGGACAAGGAGGGATCACAAACTCGAGTTCACCAGCGACACCCTCGGGAAGTGCTGCTCCTTCGGCGTGTATGCTGTGATATTTCTGTTGTGACCCGTGGTTAGCTAGGTGATGCTCGTGCACATTGACAGCTCTGACATACCTTGTACTCTGCCAATGCCTCGTTCCATGAGTTCACTAGGCCAGAGTCGTCCCAGATCTCATCATGGGATGCCATCGCTGCGAGATTTCGTCGTTTCCGTACCTGGGGTGCGCGGTTGCAAACAAGCGTGAAATGCCGTGCCGTTGCTGCCTGCTGCGAGTTTGGAGGATTGGGGACAAAATTCAATTGTTAGTGCACCCCGCGCCCGGATTGCAATTGACTACCTACCTATCCGTCGCCTACGTACCACACAGCTCCAACCGTCTGCACCTCACGGCACTCACTGTCCCATAAAGAACATTTCGCGCCAGCTTCAACAATGTCAACACACCAGAGAATTTGGGATCATTGTCGGCTTCAAAGTCCGAACCGGACGGTCAATGGCTCTTGACCGGGAGAAGGTGACAATTTCAGCCCGGATAGCGGGACCGCGGAAAACCTCAGCCGCAAAGACACAGTCGGACACGGACGGCACCGAAGGTGGACCACCACGTTTGCTTTCGGCGTCCCTTTCCCCGAGGCAACCTCAGCCTTTGATAACACTGGTTGTTACCTGTTTTTTCCAGGCATCATATGTGATCGTCAGGAGCTCAAGCAGTCGTGTGTTCGATCTTGACTCGTTTGCACACCGAAATATGCCAGATGAAGATCACGGAAAGTCCTGATGGAAACCCCAACCATAAACCGCTCAGACGAGGTTCTGGGAGGTGCATCTCGGGACAAGCGCCAAGGAGGGGAAGCCAACGCCTCTGGCCACGCCTGGAACGCTGAATGCATGGTCTCGGAAATACGGAGATCAGCGTGTTGATCCAGCAATTCTTTCAAGCCCTCGATATCTCTGCAAGTCCGATGACTTGCTTCATTGGTTGATAAGTCGTATCCATTGCTGGCCGGGCGGGTTTACCGGGTACCTGGCTGAGATGGCGGGATGGCACTGGGACAAGGAAGTTCGGAGAAGAATTAGTGTATACACTACAGCGTCCGGTGGGATGAAAAGTACCGCTGGAGCCCTATCGGTAGAGCTAGGGAGTGTGGGGTACATGCTAACTAAACATACAGCCTAATCGCTTCCTTCACGTCATGCGGTCCTCCCCGCGATCCAACAGGTACAAAGAGCTAGAGCTCCTCCTTGAACTTCCCATCTCGACATCTTTCCTTTTGAATTTGCTGTTTCTCTCACTTCATTTCTCATAATCCAGACATTAGAGCCTTACAACAAGTCGCCCGGACGGTCTATCAGCTCGGCTCTCCCTCATCGCTCAGCCTCACCAATTAGAGAAGCCATGTCGTAAGTGGAAACAAACAACCACTTACTGGCATGTAACGTCACCAACTGACTCCGGAACAGGTCTTCACAGGTTCGGGAAATTCTTGCCGTTCTTTTACAATCCGAGAACAAAAAACTTACCGCAGAGTGGCACAGGATCACTACATTGGCATCGACGTCGGAACAGGCTCAGCCCGAGCCTGTATCATTGACTCGACGGGCGACATCAAGGCACTCGCGGCCCAAAACATCAAGCTATGGACGCCATCCTCGGGCCTTGAAGGCTCGCAATACGTATGTAGACCAAAACGAGGGACAGCAGCATCTCCCCAGTTTGGACACTAACATCTCACTTAGGAACAATCAACGACAGACATCTGGAATGCCATTTGCAACTGCGTGAAGCAGGTCCTGGCCGAATCCAAAGTGGACCCGAACTCTGTGAAAGGAATCGGATTTGATGCCACATGCTCACTGGCCGTTTTCACTCACGACACAAACGAACCTGTTCCGGTGACCGGTCCGGATTTCAAGAACGATGGCAATGACAGGAACGTCATCTTGTGGCTCGACCATCGCCCTCTGGCGGAAGCGGAGAAGATCAACAACACCAACCACAACCTACTCCGTTATGTCGGCGGCAAGATGAGCGTGGAAATGGAGATTCCCAAAGTTCTCTGGCTCAAGAACAACATGCCGCCCGAGCTGTTTGCCCGCTGCAAGTTCTTCGACTTGACGGATGCCTTGACCTACATGGCAACTGGAAAGGAGATCCGAAGCTTCTGCAGCACTGTGTGTAAGCAGGGGTTCGTGCCTGTGGGCGTCGATGGTAGCGTAAAGGGATGGCAAGAAGACTTTTATGAGACCATTGGTCTGAGCGACCTCGTGACGGACAATTTCATCAGGATGGGCGGAGTTGACGGGGTAGTGAGTGCCTGATCCGAGTGCTGACTGTTTACGAAATGGCTAATCATCAAATAGAACGGCTCTTGGATGAGCGCGGGGGAGCTTGTTGGCGGTTTGTCTGAAGAGGCAGGCCAACAGCTCGGCCTACCTGCTGGTATTGCCATCGGCAGCGGTGTTATCGACGCATACGCTGGGTGGATTGGGACAGTTGGAGCCAAGGTCAAGCTATCCCCGGATCACCGCGACGACAGCGTTGCACCAAACGACGTATCGCAGGCCTTTACCCGTCTAGCTGCCGTTGCTGGCACATCAACCTGCCATCTCGCCATGTCCAAGGGTCCGGTTTTCGTACCCGGAGTTTGGGGTCCGTACAGGGATGTTTTGATCCCGGGCTATTGGATGGCTGAGGGAGGTCAGTCGGCCACAGGCGAGCTCATGAAGCACATGCTGGAGACGCATGTGGCATATGACGAAACCGTCAAAGAGGCTGAAGCTGCCGGGAAGAACATTTACGATTACCTCAACGAACATCTCAAGGAAATGGCCAAAAAGACCAACGCGCCGTCCATATCATACCTGGTCCGCCACTTTTTTTTCTATGGCGACCTTTGGGGCAACCGCTCGCCCATTGCCGACCCCAACATGCGTGGAGCCATCATTGGCATGAGCAATGACAAGAGCAAGGACGGCATGGCCTTGTTGTACTATTCCACCATGGAATTCATCGCCCTCCAAACGCGACAGATTGTCGAGGCCATGAATACTGCCGGACACACCATCAAGAGCATCTTCATGTCAGGCAGCCAATGCCAAAACGAGATTCTGATGGACCTGATTGCCACGGCATGCGACATGCCTGTCTTGATCCCTCGTTACGTCAACGCGGCAGTGGTGCACGGGGCGGCCATGCTGGGAGCGAAAGCGGCCAGTGCCAAGCCGGATGGCACGACTGAGCCTCTGTGGGACATTATGGACCGCATGAGCAAGCCCGGCAAGACGGTCTGGTCTCGTGGTGATCCCGCCGAGAAGAAGCTTCTGGATGCCAAGTACGAGATCTTCCTTGACCAGGCTAGGACTCAGCAGGAGTATAGAAAGAAGATCGATGCGGCCCTCAAGGGGTCATCGCTCGAGGGTCAAGAGGCCAACTAAAAAAGTATAGAGTCATTTGAGAGGTTGCCAGGAAACATAGAACTGGAATTGGCGTGGAGTTCTTGATAGTATGGACCTAATGGGCAGTAAATCAGTAGATGCCATTAAGTAATTCGGTGTTGATGATGTGAATGATGATGTCTGTGTTTTTGTCATGAACGGTGAAAGTGTGAATGATATCACGAGAGCGTACTGTAGAGATTATTGGTGTTGTAGGTAGGTACCTGGAAGACTGTGTGCTGTCGAAGCTGGGATGGAAGCAAATGCGTAGACCAGGGGAGTATTCGGTACTTTCAGACTGCCGGGTCGCTCCGTGCAGCCAGAAGTAGATGTACTTGCTTCTTGGCGCCCCACATCAAAGGCTGGGGAGCTGCCGCCTTCGCGGTGCCAATTCAAGAAAAACAAATCGACAAGGCGACGCAAAACAACAAAAACACCACAAAGACTCCAAACGGCACCGCCGCTCTGCTAGTCCAGCACAGCAAACGCGCGTCGACCAAACGCGTCCCACCGCATTTCCCACACACGTTGTCGGTTTTCTTTGGTCCAAATCGACACTGCAACCATGTCTCTCTTCGGTAACCTGGGCGGAGCGACCACGAGCGCGCCAGCAACCAACACTTTGTTTGGTGGTACTGCTGGCAACACCACTGCCACCTCGCTGTTCGGAACCCCGACGACCAACACGGCCCAAACCGGCACGACAGCGACTGCCCCAGCGACTGGCGGTTCATTCGGCGCCAATCCCGCGACCACTCAAGCGACTCCCTTCCTTTTCGGCGGCACCGCGACTGCGACCGCTCCAGCCACCGGTGGTCTGTTCGGAAGCACCCCAGCTGCGACAACCGGCACCGCGACGGCCCAAGCAGGAACCACGGGCGGTTTGTTTGGAAACACTGGCACGGCCACAGATGCCAAACCGTCGCTATTCGGTACAGGCACCACCACGACCACCACCCAGCCAGCGACTGGTGGTCTCTTTGGAAACCTGGGCACCACCACTGCCAATCAACCAGCTGCCGGAACCACTGGGGGTTTATTTGGTGGCTTGGGCAACACCTCAACAACGGCTGCCAAGCCCTCCCTCTTCGGTGCCCCCGCTACTTCTACACAACAACCTGCCACCATGGGAGTTCCCGGTACCGCGAGCGCCAGCCTCTTCGGAGCTACCAACAACCAAGCCCCCGCCAACAACTCTGCACCCGTCAACCAGACCAGTGGCGCCTTCTTCGACAGCCTACTCGCCCGCAACAAGAAGCTGGCCGAAGGGGAGACGGCGCTCGGCGACCTCCCAAGTCTCCAGCTCGGCCTTGGTGATCTTCGTCAGCGACTCAAAAAGGTTGGCCCTCCGACACAGGGTCGTCCCATTGATGGAAAGGCACACTACTTCCTCGCTGCGTCTGGCGTCGACCCAGGCGCTGCTATCAGAGATCTCGGCGCCTTTGGCCTTGGGACACGGGCGGAAAGGCCACAGACTGGATATGGAGCTAGGGATGAGGTGGATGTTGAGACGTATCTGTCCAACTTGCAGCAGAAGACAACGCTGAGCATGATATCGGATGGCCTGGAACGCTCCGTCCGTGATTTCGACAGCTTCCTGGAGGAGAACGTGACGATGGAGTGGGAAGCACAACGGAAACGTATCTACCAGCACTTTGGTATTCAGCCCAGGAACGAGGCCGAGCGTGCCAGTGGTTCGGCCCGTGAGGGGGGGTTCGGTCGTTCTCGTCGCAGAGGCTCTCAGACCCCTCACGCTACCCAGAACGCGAGGTCAGGCTTGCAGCGATCCATCATAGGCACGCCAAGCCGGATTGGTTCTCATGCGCCCGAGTTCTCGGATGTCGAAAAGGACGCTGGCACCTCTGTTAGCACATTCGGCTCGGTGGAGGACCGGTTCCTCCGTGAAAAGCAGGAAAAGCTTTCCGAGCAGGTCCGCTACGTCAACGATGCCCGGCAGCACAGGGAGCCCGTCTATATTTGTCGCGATTTCGCGGATCTGGAGAGCAGGTCTGGTGACAAGCATGCGCCGCATATTGTGGATGCGTATCGGGCCATGATGGAGATTGTCGGAGAAAACCCTCATCTGGGTCAGGTGCCAAGGGAACGGGCATTTGCCAAGAAGTACCTGGATCCCAGTACCTCATCCAAGAATGCTGTTGATATGAGAAAGCAGATCCTCGACGGCGCCAACCGGTTCTTGGAGAAGCAGTTCTTCGACGAGGTCAACGCGCTAATCGCCAAGTATCCTCAGGACGCGAACCTTGGAGGCAAGCCCGACGTTGTCAGCAAGATCAAGGCGTATATCAGGCTCCGGATCGCCCGCAAGACGTTGGTCCCCGATAACACCGATCTCCAGTCTGTCAACGGCGAGTACATCTGGGCTGTTGTCTTCTATCTCTTGCGCGCTGGTTTTGTGAACGAGGCGGCCACGTACGTCAACGACATGCAACATCACTTCCGCAGCATCGACAGGACGTTCCCAGGTTACATCAACAGCTATGCCTCTAGCGAAGATCGCAGACTCAAGCGTCAGATGCAAGACCGGTGCACTAGCGAGTACAACCAGCGTATTCGCAACGCCCCCGAAGGCACCATCGACCCGTTCCGCATGGCCTGCTACAAGATTATCGGTCGGTGCGATGTTAGCAACAGGAGTCTTGACAACCTCAACACAGATGTCAACGACTGGATCTGGCTGCAGTTCAACCTCGCCCGCGAGTCTGCCAAGGAGCTTGAGATTGCCGGCGAATCGTACGGTCTTCCTGAGCTCCGAGCCAGCATCAAGGAGATTGGCCTCAAGCACTTCCCCAAGAGCCCTGCCGAGGACACTAACGGTAGCTTCGGCATGTTCTTTTTCATGCAGATTCTTGCGGGCATGTTCGAGGAGGCTATTGCTTATCTCTACCCCTTCTCCTATGTCGATGCTGTCCACTTCGCCATCGCCCTGACCTACTACGGCCTGCTGCGTCCTGCCGATGCCTTCACTACCGGCAACGAGCTGCTTTCTTACAGCACCCGTGGTCTCCCGCAGATCAACTTCGGCAGAATGCTGGGGTACTACACTCGCGACTTCCGCGCTGCCAACGCCGCCTCCGCCATCGACTACCTGGTACTCATCTGCCTCAACGCCGACGACGCCGCCGGCAACGGCCAAGCCCAAGCCCAACTCTGCCACGAGGCTCTCCGCGAACTTGTCCTTGAAACCCGCGAATTCAGCAAGCTTATCGGCGACATCAAGCCCGACGGCCACCGCATCCCCGGCGTCATCGAGCAGCGCGGCTCTCTCATCGCTCTGGGCCACGAGCAAGAGTTCGTCACGCAAATCACCCACCAGGCTGCCACCTACGCCGACGACAACGGCCGGACCACGGACGCCGTCCTGCTCTACCACCTGGCAGGCGACTACGACACCGTCATCGCCATCGTCAGCCGTGCCCTCAGCGAGGCTGTCTCGCTCGAGATTGGCGAGGATCCTCTGCGCCTGGTGCCCATCAAGCCCCGTGCCGACGGCGACGTGGCCAACGCGCAGCAGGGAACGAGCCTCAGCCTGGCGGCGATCGATGATCCTGTTGAGCTGGCCCATACCATGATGTCCATGTACGAGCGCGATGCCATGTTCTTGAACCATGTCCGCGACCAGAACAGGATCGCATGCAATATTTTGTTGAAGATGAGCGAGATTAAGGAAATGATTCAGCGCAACGAGTGGGCCCAGGCTATCGATGTATGTTCTTTTCATTCCTTTCCTTTCCTTCCCCTCCTTCTCCTCCTCCTCCTCCACCCACACCATCTTTACCCCCCACCAAGTACCGTTCTACTAACACGCCCAAACCAGGTCATTCGCTCCCTCGAAATCCTCCCCACCGACGATTGCATGGGCGACCCCGCCAAGATCCGGTCCTACGCGTCCAAGTTTTCGAGTCTGCCCCAGCCTGTAGCCATCAACGTGCCCAACCTGCTCATGTGGACAATTATCTGCTGCACGCGGCAGCGCGAGCGGCTGCTTACCGGCCAGTTCGTCGGCAACACCGGCACGGCGCGCGAGATGCTTGCAAGATTGAAGCAGATCACGGTGGACTTGACGACGTATACCAGCCAGCTGAGGTACAGGCTGCCGCCGCATTTGATTGAGGCATTGGCTCGGGCTAGTGCTGATTGAGTTTTTGGGGGGTGTTGGGTGTGTTGTTGAGGAGGGTGAGAGGTGAGATGTTGGGGTGGAGGATGAATGTTCAAGTAAAGCTAAGGATTATGGACTTGGTTACGGTTATCAAGAGAGGGGTGATGAACGATTATCATGTTGGAAAAGAAGGACTCGAAACAGTTGATCAGTAGAAGACCTGGTGATAAAACCCTTGGAAATCTCAGTCGTCTGTCAGTTGGCCTGGGACGAAGTGATTCAAGTTCGCTAGCCCTTGTACAACTCAATACTGGTTTGCTTGTTTGTATGGTTCTTCGGACTTGAATTTGAACAGGGGAGATGTGGAACTCTTATTAGTCTCCTAAGAGCAAAACTGGGCTTCATTTACAGCATCGTAGGACAATGATTAAGGGTTTAGGACGCCACAGAAGTCACTGATGCCTCTCTCTTTCACTTTTCCAAAACTACCGTAGAAGTTATCGATCTACGGTGGTTACCCGATAGAGAGCCAAACACTTTCCTATATCTAGCCAATTTGCCGTTTTCAGTACCAGACCAAGGAACAAACCAGGGCTGGGTTTTATAGCACTCTCTGACACAAGTCATTGTGGTGTAGGGTGTGAAGATGGTGTGGCCAGACGTCCTTTTGCCACACGACTGGTGTGCTCTTTCTTCGTCGGTGCCCCCTTTTCAATGGCAATCCACACAAGTCAGGGTTGTTCACACATTTTCAAAGGTGCGAAGCGAGTTATTCGGAACGAAAGCCGCCCCCCTCTTTCCCTTTTTTAAAACCTTTTCATCGAGCTATAGTAATGTAGTGCTCACAGAGCCAAATTATTTCTGATATATTGGAGGGAAATCATTGGTATCCATTATAACTATTTTCTTACCATCTTCTGGCCATTAATATCCCCGGTTCCGTCGGGCCACCTTTGTCGCTGTCCGATTTCAGTCCTGTGCATCCTGGGTTGCCGCTGATTCCCTTCCGCCACTGATGTTCGCCGGTAGTTCTGGATGAGAATGACATCGCCAGTATGTTAGACACTCATCCAGACTCCCATCGAAGATCCATCAACTATTACATATCACCAACCAATCATGTCCCCTCGCTCAGCCGTTTTAAGTCGCACCCACACCCACCACGGCCCGGTCACGAAGGCGGCATCCCCACCAACGCCTTGAATTCTTCGAAACACCTATCCCACATTTTTTTCCCCTGCGGCGTCTTCCTCCACCTGTCTACCCTTTCTAGACAGTCCAGGTCATCCCTCATGTGTTGTTGACTCGTAGTCCCGTTCAAGACCACCACATCCGCTCCCAGTATGGTTAACGCATACCAGGCGGCTTCCAGACTTATTCCCAACTCCCCATCTCCGCTCTCAAGATCCCCTGGCCCTGCTGGCTCTCCGGTAACAAGGTTGCCTTTCCCACCATCTTGTTCTCCTTCTCTTTGTTCTTCTGCTACTGCTGCCGCCGCCGCCGCCCCCTCTGCCTCCAGCGCCTCCACCTCCTGTGTTGTCTTAGGCACCGCCGCCGCCAGCTCCCTTACAAACTTCTGAGTCGGCCAATCGCCCCGGTTGCCCGTCAACGTCCAGAACCCTTGGTAGCGCGTCCTCTTCTCGCCTTTCCAGCGCGTACTGTTCTGGTTCGCGCACCACCGGCGCAGCTCGTAGTCCCACCGGCGCTCGGCGCGGCGAAAGCGGTTTTGAATCACCGTCGGGTACACCGTCACGCGCGGGTCGGCGACAAGATACTGCAGCTCTGGGAGGGTAATGTTGGAAATGCCTAGCGAACGAATGCGATGCGGGACGAAGGACTGTAAGGCCGTCCAGGCTTCAAGCGTCGACACCGGGTCGGGGAAGGGGGAGTGCATTATTAGGCAGTCTATGTAGCTTGTGTCCTCTTGTGATTCGGGCGAATCGGCGTGGGCGAGGTTTCGCAGAGAGGAGGTCACGGAGGCGAGGACTTGTGAGGTTATGGTTGGGTAGAGGGCGGGTTCAGCTAGGAAGGCGTCGTCGTGGGGAGTGTACTTTGTTTGGATCTGTCAGAATATAGGTTAATTTATTACGGTTCAGAAGAGTAAATAAGTCAGGTAAGCGACGGATGCTAAGACTGCTCACATATAGCTCCTGCCGGGTGACGATTCCGTCCCTGATGGCCCTTCGAAGGCCCTCGCCAGTAAGCTCCTCGCTGTAGTGGCGCTTCATGGCAGCCGTATCAATACCGCGGAAGCCTTCCTTGATGGCCTGGTAGACCAGGTCGGCGGTACGGTTCTTCTTCCAGGCTGTGCCATAGATCATTCGTGGCATATTGACCTTTGGGTGGAGGGGATCTGACCCCGCAGGGCTGTTGATTGACGCATCCGCGCTCGCCATGGTGGTGGTACTACGGGTGCCTCTCAGCTGCCTGGTAGCAATGGAAGAGAAGGCAGCGCCGCTTGTGCTCCAAGCTTCACAACCTCGTGTTGTGGTCTTGTTCAAAGAACAAAGATAGCACGGGATGCCGTTGGTGTTGGTCTGACGCGGAGGGAGGGAGAGCCCGCGGGCGTGGGCATGGGCAAGACGGTTGGGAGATGGTCGCACGATGAGACGGTAGGGCAGCAAGGGCAGCAGCTTTGTGGACGCAGAAGAAGTGTTCGCAAAAGCACGCACTTGGGGCACGGGTTGAAAGCAACACAAAGACTGTCCTCTTTTGAGGCGAAGGGCCATTGGCTGATACGGGCCAGAACTACCTACCTACCTTACCAAGCTAGGTAGGTACCTCTACGTAGGTAGTCTCGGGTACGGATGACTTGTGGGCTGCAACTGACAAGGAGTGCAGCAGTGCAAGAGGGGCGCCAGTTGCCCTGCCGTGAGTGCCAGTCGTGCCAGTTCCTCCCGTCCTTGCCCTCGGCGCTTCCTCATCTCTACCGTATTGGGCTACCTCGTCCACACCTTGGATGACTTGCAGCGGTCCCTAGATGCCGGCTTCAGATGGGTGCTGGCATCCTTCAGACCGGTATCGAGTCTCAGCCAGTAACGTCGGGTAGAAGCCCAGTGGGTAGAGCTACACTGTATGTATGGTATATGCCCGATGCAGGAGTGATCAGTAGCAGGGCCTACCTAGGCAGGAAGCAGCTCATCAAGCGAGTCGATAAAGTCCAGAGAAGCAACTAGCTTCTATCTGCTTCCACTATTTGAAATTTGATCATACGTGTGGCCAGCGTCCTTCAGTCGAGGCTGGGTGTTATGCCTGATAGCCGTCTGGACTCCAATCCAGACCGCGTCGGGTATGAGTAGTGGTGGATGAACGAGGCAACGAGGCTCTGTTAATCTGCTCTTGGCGACAGCAAGGTGGATTGGGTGGGAAAGGAAGGGAAATAATGATGGTCGGTAGATGGTCTAGAATGGCTTGGCTCGCAGGGCTTGACTAGGTGTGATAATGGCGAATGGGGTACCTATGTATACGACGGACTGTTGTTGAAAAAGGATCCAGCTCCCAACGTGTAGTGTACACTAATTGATAGACTCAATAGTCGAACCAATGGAAAAATGGGCCAATCAAGCAGCTGTTCTGTTTTATTTCCATAGAGGGGTCGTCGCATTTGGCTCATTCCTTCCCAGAACAGTATTCCTTTGCGGGCGGGGTACGTAGGCGTTAACAACTGACGGAATAGTATCCGATGTGTACATAATACATAGTACACTCGAGGGGGTAATGTACATACACGAGCCTGACGAGGAACCTCAAGGGATGCAAAGGGGTCAGGTCATGGTGGAAAATTGTTAGTGCTAGCGCCGACTGACCGATCTACGCAGTACGCAATAGAGGCGGGTGCCCTGGTTCGGCAAACCACCACACTGGATTCCTTGTCAGGGCCGCTTTATCCGCGAGACCGGCCCGGATATTAACAGCCTAGGGCGCCCAAACCGGCGAGTGCCCCGCCATCAACCCCATGGGGCCAAAGAGGAGTCGATCTGCTAAGGTACTGTACTCCTAGGTACTGTAGTGAATGGGAATGAGGGGAAACAGGAACGACTCCATTCGAAGACGACGAGGGGAACAGGCATCTATGTAACGCGTGTTTATCACTCAATCGCCAGTTCTTGTCTTTTTTTTAAAAAAAAATTTTAAATTTTTTTTTTTTTTTTTTAACTGTCAAACCTCCCATCGACAATTGTCATCTGTCAAGCCCGAGGGATACCCAAGCATCAATCGCGTGGAGGATACACTAACCAGCAACGATGGCCTCCAACACCCCATTCACCCTCAAGTGGGGTATCATGGCAACCGGGTGGATTGCTGAGAGTGAGTCTCGAGCATCTGGACCACAGTGACAAGGCAGCAAGCTGACCAGAACACGCCTGATCAGCATTCACCCAGGATCTGCTCACCAATCCCGCCACCACCCGCGACGTGCACGATGTCCGCCACGAGGTCGTTGCCGCGGCCTCGTCTAGCTCCAAGCAGAGGGCCGAGGAGTTCCTTGTCAAGGTCAAGGCCCCCAGTTCGGCCAAGGCCTACGGATCCTACCACGAGCTCGTCGCCGACCCCGAGATCGATATCATCTATGTGGCCACCCCGCACAGCCATCACTTCCAGAATGCCATGCTAGCTCTCGAGGCCGGCAAGAATGTCTTGTGCGAAAAGGCCCTCACGGTAACGGCCTCGCAGGCCCGTAAGCTGGTCGACATGGCCAAGAAGAAGAAAGTCTTTTTCATGGAAGCAGTCTGGACTCGCTATCAGCCCATCAGTATCAAGGTCAGGGAGTTGATCCAGTCTGGAGTCATTGGCCCCGTCTACCGTGTTGTTGGTACGTTATGCCGACGTGATGTTAGTGAGAATCATATACTGACTAGGTGGCTACAATAGCCGATCTGTCGTTCGGCAATGACCAACCCGATGGCACCGTCAGCTTCGCCGACACCCACCGCATGGTTAACCCGGACCTGGCTGGAGGTGCCCTTCTTGACCTCGGCATCTACTCGCTGACATGGGTCTTCCAGACCATGTACCATCTGCAAAAGGAGAAGGAGAAGCCCAAGGTTGTGGCGGCCGTCCAAAAGTACCATACGGGCGCCGACGAGGCTACCAGCATCATTGTGCAGTGGCCGCAACACAAGAGCCAGGGCATTGCCCTCACCTCTCTCCGGCTAGCTACCGGGGTGGACAAAGAGAACACGGGCGGACCGGCTATCCGGATTCAGGGCTCCGGCGGCGAGATTCACGTGACGGGACCGGCGTATCGGCCGCTGCAGTACAAGGTGATCCGAGGTGATGCTGGCGGCAAGATCGAGACGGTCGACTTTTCGATCCCCAAGGATCCCGAGCGGGATTGGGGCCACGGCATGTTTTGGGAGGCGGACGAGTGCGCGCGCTGCATCCGGGACGGCAAGAAGGAGAGCGAGTCGTTGCCGTGGGAGGAGAGCCTGGTGATGATGGAGGTGATGGAGGAAGCGCTGAAGCAGGGCGGAGTGACGTATCCCGACCTGATCACGACTGATGTGTTTGATGCGCAGAGCCCCCTGAACACGGGCAAGAGGTAAAGTGATGGGTCCGGTCGGTCTGGCTAGAGGAGGTCGTCAACCGAAGTGCATGGCAGTGTGCAGTGTGCAGCGCAGCATTGCAGCCGAACTCGAACTGCTGTTCATTAGAGTGCGACGGTAGCCAACGTGGAGTCAATCGATGGGAGAAGTGAGAAGTGAGATCGGAGATTTCTTCTTCAAAGAAATAAACCAACAAGGAGACTTGTGATGGATGCACCCCCCAGCGTGTCAAATGAACAAGTACCTAGAGGTGTCTCCATGTGCCCCTCATGTAGCGGCCTTGTACCTGACTCTGTGTCGTGCCAGCAGGAGCCGGAGTCCCCCCCATGCGTGCGGGCACAGGCAGTCATGATGCAGTCAAAACTGGCGGCCAGCAAGTTAGACCTGTGCACCCTTCAGGCACATTTAGGCCCCCCTCTGGTTCCTCCAGAATCCACACATCTGGGTCCGATCAGAGTCAGACTTGGTCTGTAGAACGGTACACAGCAAGGTTGAGCAGGTTTTACAGACCGGCAAAGATTACCGAGCGAGCGAGGGCTGTCGTCGGGAGCATCCGATCGATTCTATACGGCGGCTGTCGTGATGATGTTGAAGAAACCGTCAAAGGCTGGCGCGGCTCCGAGAGAAAATTGGATGCAAACGCCCGTCAGCCACCGTCAGCCCATCACGCACAGACGTCACTTTGGGGGCTTTTTTTTTTTTTTTTTTTTTTTTTTTTTTTTTTTTTTTTTTTTTTTTTTTTTTTCCTTTTCCGGTATTGGTGTTTATTTGGGAGTAGGAGGGTCGTGTTCGATATTAGGTGTGCTATTACTCTAGGGGAGAAAAGCTCCATGATGCGGGTCGGTGCAACTGCATCATACAGTACACTAGACTAGACTACCTACTCTACTACTAGTACTAAGTACATACATGTTCTTCCGTTCTCTCGAACAGCGGACCTCGTCAACGAACGTACACTAGCGACGGGAAGGCCCATGTCGACCCGTTTTACGTCACGAACTCCTCTTGGTCGTGGTGATGACATGGCTGTTTCTTCAGAACCCAACTACTGCAGGCTGCCAGCTCCGAACCACTCGGCTTGGGTCAATTGGTCTCCGTGCCCAATGGGTCAGGGATGCAGTCAGCGTGGTAGGGACCTGAGCTGAGGTTCCATGCTTCAACGAGCCCGGGGCCCGGGCAGCTGTTCCTCTTACACTCGATACCATGGCAGCTTCTTAATGGAGAAAAGGGAAGTGAGACTGAGGGCGTGTTTGGTTCAGTCAGCAAAACCAAAATTTGTATGGGAAATCAACCCCTGCAAAACAGCAAACTATATTTTGCTGTTTTATGCAGGTAGTTGGGGGTCATTCTGGTCTTGGCTGCAGAAGAAAGTATCGCGCTAAGGCAGGTAAATGCACATCGTTCGGAAGGCTCAAGAAGGGAATTAGTGGGCCTATGTAGGAGTATTTTGTTGTTTTCTATCTTAATGGGTCAACCCATGAAGATAGAGAGCATTTTGCTGCTTCCGCCACATCAAGCGATAGTGCAGCCAACACTACGAATTACAACCCCGGTTACAATAACGCGTCCTTTGGCCCCCATCCTCGAGCGATACCTTCTTAGTTGCTTTTTAGCTTTGTACCTTCGTTTATCCTTGTAAGAAGTCAGTAGAATTTCTGCTGACTGAACCAAACGCGCCCTGAGAAGGAGGGAAGTGGACAGACGTTGCCCGTCACTCCACCGTTCGCCGTTCGTGGGCGGCAACTGCATCCTTGATCATGCATTGTGCGCATGTAGAATAGTGTATATGTACTGCACTAGTGTATGTATGTACATAGCGGTGCGCTCGGTAGGGTGCGGGTAGCGGTAGCGGTTACGAGTCACACTGCCGCGGTGGAACCTTGCACCTCTTTTTTTCACTTTCCACTTTGTGCCTCTTGGGAGCCGACCTCTCACACCTCGCCAAGTGCGTTTGTGTTAAATCCCCATCCTGGCCTCATCGCCCTTCTCAGCACCCGGCTTATCATCCCCGGGGCGTCCTACACTATACCTACGTTCTGGAAGAGGTACGAGGCGCGCCAGCACACGGCAAGGAGCCACCAGCCCTGCCCAAGTCCTGCAGCCTGCAAGCCGGCCGGCGTCTAACCATAACTGACGTCGAGCGAGTTCGGTTCGGCTTCTCATCCGGTCCTCTCAGACACTTTGGTCTAGCCCGGAGGTTCACTGCGCAATAAGCTCAGCCTCGCCCGAACCAGCGGTCAAGTTCAGAGTCACTCAGATCTTAGACACGCCCTTTCGTGCTCACTCTCAGTCAAACAAGCCCTCGCTGAATGCGGGGTAACGGCCCAACTGTTTGGTCCAGAAAAACACAGCCCGGATAACGCAACTTGCTGAACAACACAATACACACAACACCTCATACCTCAGCATTCAAGCACACAACACACACCACCATTCCACCTTGTCCGGCCACCTCGGCCCACTCGGCTCATTGTCCGACCTCCCCGACCCTCCATCCAACTGATTGCTCGTGCTGGCCAGCTCTCTCCTACTACCACGCACTCCTGCTCTAGCCTCAGGGGTAAATCCAGCTCGTCGGGAGGGACAAAAAAACAAAAGCAAGAGATTTCTTGGAGCCCAGTGGTTGAGTTGGGTATCATTCGATTCGGAACCTCACTTGGCACCGCCTTGTGCTTGGTTGTCTTGCGTTGCCTCGAGTTCACTACCCCTGGCTATCACCTTGTCAGAAAAAAAAAAGTCTCCTTAGCGTATGTGCGCATTGCCGTTTCCTTGACCTTCGCTCCTTACCTTGTCACTCCCCGGTAAGATGGGATCACATTCACTACCCTCCGCGTCAGCGGCTGATGCTGTTGCGAAGCTGGCAGCAGCGGAAGCTTTGAAATCAACTGCCGCCTTTGCCGCCTCTGCCCCTGGCAGTAGCACAGAGACAGCTTTGGGAACCGCACAAGGTGCGAGTGCAGCCGGGGACGCTGGTCCGGTCACTGCGGTGCCCTCCTCAGATACCCCATCGGTAGCGGTGGACCCAGAAGCTGAGGCGGAGGCCTACGAGCGTGCCAACGTTCACAACGTGTACGAGGCTATTGCACCGCACTTTTCGGCCACGCGGTACAAGCCCTGGCCTGCCGTGGCCCAGTTCCTGCATGCCCAGCAACCTGGATACGTAGGTCTCGATGTGGGCTGTGGCAATGGCAAGTACCTGGGTGTCAACAAGAACGTCTTCATGGTGGGCTCGGATCGGAGTGCCAATCTTGTTGCTCATGCCAACGAGCGTGTGAAGGAGCTACAGAAACCGCAGCAGCAGCAGCAACCTGAAGCTGAAGTCGTCAGAGCCAGAATAGGTGGCAGCAAGAAAGAGAAGAAGCACAAACAAGAAGTACCTACAGGCGGCGAGCGTGAGTCAGAGGCTCCGAATGCCGTCATTGGGAAAGAAACCGGCAGTGAAGTGGCAGTGGCGAACGACGTGCTTGTGGCCGATGGGCTATCGCTGCCCTTCCGTGAAGGCCGAGCTGACTTTGCTATCTGCATCGCCGTCATCCACCACATGTCCACCCGGACTAGACGACAGGAGGCCATTCGACAGCTCCTGAAATGCGTCAGACCCAGCGGCCAAGTCATGGTATATGTCTGGGCATTGGAGCAGGGCGAAAGTCGTCGTGGATGGGACGAGGGCGGAGAGCAGGATCTGTTGGTCCCTTGGGTGCTGAAGAGTCAACAACCCAAACCCAAGAAGGAAAAGCAGCCCAAGGCTTCGAAGCAGAAGCAAAAGTGGCCGCAGCAGCAGCAGCAACAGACGCATGAGCAGGCGAATACGCCAATGCAGCAGCAGAATCATGATAGCACCGAGCCACAGGAAGCTATCACCGCAAAAAGTGTTGGGGAAAAGGAGGCGACCCCAACATCATCATCAATATTATCACCATCGTCCGTCCCCAAAGACGCTAGCATGACGATCGGCGGCGGCACGGGGGCGGGCGTAACCGAACCTGCAAGCGCAGCCGCAGCCGCGGTGGCAGGCCCTGATGCCAAGACCGACACCGGGGATGCCGCCGCCAACGCCGACGCAGTCTTCCAGCGCTACTACCACCTTTACCGTAACGGTGAGTTGGAAGAGGATGTGTTGGCAGCGCGAGGCGCAGTCGTTATGAGCGGATATGAGCGCGACAACTGGTGGGTTGTGGCTACCCACGCTACCAATGACGATACATTGCAGGACTAGTCATGTGTTTTGTCGACTCAGGACTGTCAAACAGAATTAGAATCACCGACTTGAATTGTTAAAGGCAATGAGCCGATCTCCCTACCAGAGAAAGAATAGAAATTATGACTGCATACCGCATTACATCCATCCATCCATCCATCCATCCATCCATCCATCCATCCATCCATCCATCCATCCATCCATCCATCCATCCATCCATCCAAGACCTCTTAGTCACTGTCGCCGACCCGGTGCCTGACGCTATCGCTAGTGGTTCAAGCGATTGGTTCAAACCTCGCACTTTTCCTCAAACCAAACCCTGATCCTGCAGACAGACCTTTTACCCCTGCGTCATGTCTCCCGTCTTTGTCTCCTTTGTTGTTTTAGTACTATGTATAGGTGAATGGTGCCTTGCAGTTGGTCGTCGTGCCTGCCTTGCCCTGACCTCAGATTCCCTGATTTTTCGCTTATCGAACGGTACCTGAACTGATTGACCACTGGGAGATGGACAGATGATGATGAGAAGCGAGTTTCGGTCCTCCTGACCTCCTGGTCTAACATGACCTAACCTAACGTACCTGACTAATTTGAACCTAACCAGGGTAACTGTGACGTGGTGAATATGTGAGGTGAGTACGTATGTAGTTCTTGACCCCGTTCCTGGGGTTCCTGATGTTTTTTGGTGTCATCGTCAACATCAAGGTAGTGAATTGGCCGTCGCGAACGTATGGTACCTCTGTATGTATGTATGTAGTAGGTAATGTGGATACCCCTTGCTAGGAACAAGCTTCGCTCGCCTAGCAAGCCTTCTTTTGAGATCCCATTTCCCATCTACCCAATCTCCGTTTTCTGCAGCCCCCGAGCCTACTACGAGTCCACCTCAACTAGTGTTTAATAGACTGGCACCCTTGTCAACCTAAACATTGTGATTCATCCGTGTTCAATCGTCCATGTTGTCCTTGTAAACATGAAACTTTCTGATACTTGATGGTCATTTCTTTTTCTTGCAATTTATCTCTTCATTTGAATTTAATATTTTTTTCAAACCTTTTATCTATCACCGGGGTCTAGAACATGGAAAATTCGATATTTGATACAAGATTACTCACGTTTGACACGGCTTGAACTAAACGACGCCTTCGAGATCAATGAGCAAGGGCAAGTGACTTCAAAGTATCTCGAATACTTGACCAATCTGATGCGGATTGATGTCTTCCTCGAACCAAAATAAAAACAAGAACCACTGAACTAATCTTCCTATTCGTTGAAATAACAATATCATAAACTCCGATCCGAATCCCCTTGTATCTTTTTTCCTTTTCTCTTGTTCTATGTTGTAGCCTCCAAAAATGCCCCAAAGAAATTACCGAAAGGTGAAAAGGAATGGTAAATGAGCTGAATCTTCTTCTTTTTCTTCCAATCCGAATGAGTCGTTCTCGTTTGATCCCGCCGTACTCGCCATGTTTTCCGTGTTCCGTCTTTTTGTTGGTAGCCCTGTTTCACCGCGCTGCGCCGTTCTTGACCTTGAATGGTTGTTTTACATTTTCGTTGCCTAGGTGGTTCCCGTCCCGGTCCCATCCCAACAAATGACAAGACGAAAGGAAATCCGCTAGTTCAACCTATCATGCCCAAACTGCTCTTTCTCTATGTTTTGAATACCGCCTTCCTATCTCGTACAGTCTGAGCCATCTCGCGGGAAATGCATCAAGGTGATCAATCAGATGGTTGTTAGAGAACGATTTGCCAAGGAAAGGGAAACAAGAGGTGTGACAGGTGAGACAGGCTGAAGAAGTCCCCCATTGTTCGGTGAGATACCAGAAGTCACACCCCCAAAAAGAAAAACCGAGGATGAAAACCAAACAGGAAGATAAAAAAGGAAGGAAAGCCATATCGTTTTTGGATGTCATCAATTCGTCCCAAGAACATGAGAGGGTGAACAAGAGGCTGAGTGATAAGTGTATTGTATTGGGGACCCAAAAGTGTCTGAAGGGTATGATTATTGTTTGAACCTCGAACCGGACAAAGGAAAAATCCGTGTGGGATTAAGCTGTGCGTGTGTGAAAAGACACAAAGCAAAAAAACGAAACAGAATGTGTTAAAGTAGAAGCTATCTCATAAGTATCCCTCCAAGTGAACTGGTGCTGGCATCTGAGGTATATCTGTATGGTATCCAAAGTTTACTGTTTTCGGTATTCGTGTCCGTATGTTGTATCCGTGTTTTATGCCAGATCTGTGGTATCAAGTACATGAAAGAAAATGAATAAGTGAGCCGAGACCGAAAGAAACCGAAAAAAAAGAAAGAGGAGGGAA